AGTGCCCCTGAACTGCAGCTAAACAGCCTGTCATGTTTTGTTGCTAGGGAGAACTGGAGAATTTTTGGCCAATTGGTGGAACTGAGCATTGCTCTTTGAGGTGCTTTGAGCAGATGATTGTGACATAGAATTTAAATTTAAATACAGAAAAGAAACTAATGTTAAAATAAAATATGGATTAAACAAAAATGGACATTGTGGAGTTCAGATACTCTTAACGATACACCATATGCTGTGTATCTTAGTCTAATTTATCTGTAAATTACTTTGTTGCACATTTAACTAGCTCTAATGTGATTAATTAAACTAGCACCTCACTGTTAAGCGCTCATTTTAAATTCAAGTGTGTGTTTATATATTTATGGATATGAACAAAAACAGGAAATGAAAATTGAGATTTATTTCATAAAACAAATATCAATAACTGTTTATAGAGGAGGTAGGAATCCTTCAAAGCAATTTCTTCTGGAAGAGCCTGATGACAGCACAAGAGAACTAGCTGCTGACACCAGAGAAGAGCTACTAGAAGAAGAACGAATCAGTGTGTTTCCTGTTTGTTTAGCAGATGCCATTCCCTTGACTTTACTTCTGAGGTTGGATCAAAGTCAAAGTCGTTTTTATTGTCATTTCTACCACATGTGCAGGACATACAGAGAAACGAAATTGAGTTTCAGTACACACAATTCAGAGATCAGACATACATGGGTAAGACACATGACAAGAATTGGTGACTGCGGTCATTTGCAACATGAGTCGCGCTACCTTAATAGATAGATGAAAAGGGTGTTACATGAGGACAATTGGGGGTAAGGTAAAAAAAAAAAGGCATAGCAGAGTTAGACCCAGCGGGGAGTAACTCTATTATACAAAAAAACTCCTCAACATAGAAGCACAAACAGCACAAATACAAACATCAGAGTCCGATGGGGAGGCGGGGATGGGCGGGATCCTGAAGCCTCCAATGGGAGCTGCCAGTACGGCGCATCAACCAGCTGCAGACCAACAGGTGGGAGGGAGAGATAAGGAACAGAGAGCACATTGAGTTTCCCGCAGGTCGCTGACCTCAGCAGAAGTCAGAATCTGAAGGCCGGGGGGTAAGGTCGGGACACAGCATCTGTCAGCATTTCTCCTTTTGTGGGGGAGTGTTGAGCAGCCTTGAGAGGCTGTCTTGGCGTCAGATAAGGGATAAACATGGCTTTGTTTGGGGCAGGCAGAGATAATTTTCCTCTCTGCCTTGGAGTCTATAAGTGGTCATTCATGTCATGGATGCTAGAGGATCTGGTGTCGGGCAGCTGTGAGAACGTTTTGTCGGTTTGACTTGGCCAGGAGGGGCATTTGAGGAATCAGCCAACAGCCTATATGGGTCCTGTACTACGGTCTTCCAACTATGCTCCCGTTTAATCTCTCTCAGTGGGTAAGGGGCGGAAGTCTGGTGGAGGAGCCTGTTCCACAATGCAGGTGGAGAGCTGGGGTGCCACGAAGAGAGACCGTGGTGACTTGTCGCCAGTTGATGTTGCAGCGGATGGCTCTGCTAAGCAGCAGACGACTGGTGGCGTTGGTGCGTCTGGCCTGGTCGTTCACCTGCGGGCGTCAAGCGGTAGAGGTTTCTCTTCCTCCAGTCCTCTTCGAGTGTCTAGGGAACTGCAGGACACGGTTGGGGATGTTGTGAATGCCACAGTCCTGCCTGGTGGTGTGTTGTCTGTTTTTTGGTGGAGCAGCAGGATAAGGTGCTTTGGTTTGAACAGTTTTTGGATGTGGCAGTTGTCGTTTCTGTGCCGAGTGTCAAAGTTGGAGTTGGGGGGACAATTTACAATGTACTGAAAGAAGTCTCCGGGACGGAGTTGTTGCACAATCCGAGAGGAGGCACTGTTGCGGCCGTGTGGCGATTAGGCTATAATGCTAGTGGGTTGACTCCCTTGCTGATAATGTTTGGCGGGTTGGTGTTGGCTGATCGTGTTATGTTGGTTTTTTTTAGTTATTCTGTCAAGGCTTTTGAGAAGGCCCCGGTGCGGTGTTTTTGGTGCCAAAGGTTTTGCCATGTGGCCAGTGTCTGTAAGGAGGGTCTTGGTGGTGTTCCTAGACATTGAAAATGTCTTTGATATGCTGTGGAAGGACAGATTTTTGATTTCCCTGTATTTGTCTGGGGTTCGTGGGAGGATGTTGCGCTGGATCTGGGATTTCTTGCGGGACAGGACGATCCAGGTTAGGGTGGGTTCTGTGTTGTCGTTCTCTGTGGGGTTGGACAACAGGGTTCCACAGGGGAGCTTGGTTAGCCCGGTGCTTTTTAATGTCATGGTCAATGGCTTGTTCGACTCTTTGAGTGGTGATGTGGGGAGGCACTTATTTGCTGATGGGGCGTTTTGGAAGTGGGGCCGGAACCTTCCGTTTCTGTTCTGTAGGGTGCAGGACAGCTTGGAAGGTATGGTGGTCTGGTCGAGGTGTTGGGGCTTTTAGTTGTCCCCAACCAAGTTTATGGTTTTTGGTTGTAAGCTGAACGTCCCGACGGTGGGTTTGCAGTTGGGTACGCTGCAGCTGGAGCGCGTGCCCTCTTACAAGTACCTGGGCTTGTGGGTGGATGAACGGCTGACCTGAGGTGTTCATGTTCGGAGCCTGGAGGCCAGGTGTGGTTGTATTCTGAATGTGATGCTGTGCTTGGCCGGCTCTAATTGGGGGGCAAGCCGGTGGACCTTGCTGATGGTGTATAGGGGTGTGATTGTGTCGGCCCTGGATTATGGGTGTTTCCGGTATGGATCGGCTGCCCCTACTACCCTGAAAAGCTTGGATGTCTTGCAGGAGGTAGCTTTGAGGGTATGAGGGCGTTTTGGTCAACCCCAGTTGCTGCCCTTCAGGTTGGTGGGGCTTCCCCTACATCAGGCCTATTCGACCTACATTGGGAGTTTGAAGGGTGGGGTGGATTTTCTGACCAGTTTAGGGAAAAGGCAGACACCTTGGGTTACCTCGGTTGGCCCGTCTGTTCACACCTGGTCTGGCCTGTGGATTTTACCTTTTTGAGGTGTGGCCATGGTGGTGGAGTGGCTGGTGATTTCCAGGATTTCTTGGGGTTGGAGTGGGGCTGTTATTTGCAGCTGCATATGGACGGTTCTAAGGATCCTGACAGTGGATAAGTGGCAGTGGGTTTGGTGGCCCACAACTGAACTTCAGTTATGGATGTTGGATCCGGGACCGTTGCTTTGTTTTTACAGCTGAGTTGGTGGCTATCATGTGTGCCTTGCATTGGGTGGAGGAGCATATCCCGGAGCATGCTGTTGTCTGCTCTGACTCAGTGGCTGCATTGGAGGCTCTGTCTGGGACGGGTTCTAGTTCTAGATGGGATCTTGTGACTTCTGCCAGGGTCTTTGTGCATGAGCTGCAGGCTTGAGGCTGTGAGGTTTGTTTTGTTTGGGTTCCTGCTCCTGTGGAGGTGGTGGGCAACAAACGGGTGGATTCTGTGGCCAGGGCAGCCTTGACGTGCTGTGGGACTGGACGTTGACATGGGCTCCCCTGAATTTTGTTCCGTGATAGGCAGGGAGGCTATGAAGTTGTGACAGGCCTCTTGGGATGGGTGGAGTGGTGGGTAGGGGGTTTTATGGGTTGCATTGGTTGGTGGTGGACGTGGGCCGGTCCTTGCTTTTGGGAGGAGGGACTCAGTGGTCCTGATTCGGCTGAGGTGGGGTCTTGTGGACTTCGAGGTGGGCTGTTTTTAGTGGGGAAGCACTGGGACGGGAAGTGTGATTGTGGGGAGCTTGAGACTGTGTGTCACGTTCTTCTGCAGTGTGGACTGTTTGATTGTGTGAGGGGGACCTATTTTTGGAGGTTGGGGGCTAGCAGACCTTGCTGTGATTGGAGGACCAGCATAGGGTGTGGGCTTTGTTAAGCTTTCTGCATGAGGCTGGGGTATATGAGAGGCTGTGACGTCTTTTGGTTGTTTGTTCGTGCAGCTGTGGCAGCAATACGCATTGTGGGTGTGTAGCCTGCCTGATCCACCGGAGAAGAAGAAGACACCAGAGAATCACGTATGACCAAGAGAACAGCTGGTATTCGTGAATAAATAATGAACTCAGGGCAATTTTAATGGGATGCTTGTTATTGTGGAACATAAATGAACACATTACAGAATCATTTTCTCCTGGGGTATTTTTATTTCTAACTGGCTTTTCTCTGCAGCAGACAGTAACTTTAGCTAAGGGTAGGTGGCCGTGTCCTAGAGAGCTGCTATCCACCACGTTTCAGTGGCTTTCCTGCTTTAACAGGTTAGGTTAGATTAGCTGTTCAGCAGCTCAGCAATTTTCTGCTGATTAAAACCAGGTGTGTTGAAGCAGATAAACCTCTAAAGCATGCTAGATAACAGCTCTTTAGGGCCGTGGAGCTGAACCCTGCAGCTAATCTAATGCTATGGCTAATGGCTACCTACCATTCAGAGCTGGTTCATTTGGGTCGGTTCTGGTGGTTTCAGGCAACTCACAAGCTCAAAACAATAAGACTCAGGTCCGCTTGTCTCCTCCAAATAGACTTGGTCCCTTTCTTCATTGTCTGGGTAAGAAGGGGGAGAAAAGTCCTCCACTTGAAATGACAGCTCAGAGTGAAAAGAGCTAGCATTGCCTCATCAGCCATCGTCTCCGTCACTGCCGCGGCTCCGCCCTCACGGTCCACCAGGCAACGCCTACTAATGTTGCATTTTTCAAAATTGATATGGGTGAAGAAGGACTCTGAGGCAGGGTTGACGACCAGGCTAAGGCAGTAGATGGTTCAGAGCTATGATTCTGTGTAAGTTTGGCAACTGTACTTAAAAAAATTTAGGATTATTCTTATTCTTACAGAAAATTCCTATTTATTCTGCACAGTTTGTTTAACAATAAAAAACGCCATTACGTTTATTAATGATCTTAAACTATTAAGTTAGGAAAATGCAGTGAAAATCAGTCAGAAGCAACTGACTCTGTGAATCAGCTCAGGAGTCCTTCCTGTGCAGCAGCTCTGAGTGTCTGATTCTGGGTTTGTAGGCCTCCAGGATGCGGTTCTGCAGTACTCGTGGTGGAGTGAGAGGATGGGACTTCAGGGATGTTCTGTTCTCAGGCTACGCTCCAGATGGGGGGATGTTTATGCCGGAGACCCTGCCCCAGCTAAGTCCTGAGACGCTGCAGAGCTGGAGGGAGCTGTCCTACACCCAGCTGGTAGTGGAAGTATCCGCTCTCTTTGTTCCAGATCAGCTGATCCCCAGAGAAGACCTTCAGGGTGAGGCCTTCAGCTTCTCAGCTACAAAAAAAATTTAATTAAAAAGGTTATTAAGAAATTAAACCAGAATCAGAAACCTGACAACTTCTTTCTGCTTTCCACTTGTATGCTGACGACTGTCAGATCTATGTCCCTCTTCAGAAAAAAGGCGGATACCGCATACAGCCATTACTTCAGTGTCTTGAGGACATAAAGGCTTGGATATCTATTAACTTTTTAAAATTCAATGATAAAAAGACCGAGGTGATGAATTTTGGTAGTCCTACTGAGACCCCCAATGTGTATGTTGATTCCCTGGCCCAGTTTGTTAAGCCAACTGTCACAAACCTGGGGGTCGAAGTGGACTGTGATCTGATGTTTGATTATCAGATTAGGGCGGTGGTAAAATCTAGCTTCTTTCACCTCAGGCAGCTGGCGAAAATAAAGCCAATTCTTTCACGGCAGCACTTCGAGACAGTGATCCACGCCTTTGTTACCACTTGGCTGGATTACTGTAACGCATATTGGGGTCAGTGCACCTTATATTAGTCATCTACAGAGGGTGCAAAATGCCGCAGCCCGTCTTTTAACTGGCACTCCAAAGTTTGAGCACATTTCCCCTGTTTTAGCTTCACTTCACTGGCTGCCCATTTCTTTTAGGATTCATTTTAAAATTCTTTTGTTTGCTTTTAAATGTCTCCATGGCCTTGCACCTTCTTATCTCTCTGTCCTGTTACAGCCTTACACACCCTCCCGCGCTCTCAGGTCAGCTGATCAGCTGCTCCTGAACGTACCCAGGACTGGGCGTAAACTTAGAGGATATCGCGCCTTTGCTGTAGCAGCTCCTAAACTGTGGAATGAGCTTCCTTTAGAGATAAGACAGGCCAGTTCCTTACCTGTTTTTAAGTCACTCTTGAAAACACACCTCTTTACCCTTGCTTTTGACACCATGTGAGATGTTGGTTACTATTTTTTGTGCCTTATTTTAGCTGTTTTTGTGTGTTTCAATGCTGTTTTTATGTAGTTTTTATTCTTATTATTGGGCTGTTTTAATTTTATGTCTCCTGTGTTTTATTTATTTCTCTTTGCTGCTTTCTGTTTATTCTATTGTTTTAATGTATTTTCTGTACAGCACTTTGTTCCTGTGCTGGGTGTTTTAAAGTGCTTCATAAATAAATGAACTGAACTGAACTACTGGAGCTAAGATTCGCAATACACATAATGCTTCAGTGGTAACCGTTACTAGTGTCTGCATTAGATCTAAACCTTTAAATGACCATCCACCATCCACCATCCATCATCCATCCATCCATCCATCCATCCATCCATCTATCCATCCACCCAACATCCATCAATCAAATCAATCAAATCAAAGATACTTTATTAATCCCAGAGGGAAATTAGAGTTTCAGTACACACAATTCAGAATTGGTGACTGTGGTCATTCGAAACCCTGAGTTGCGCTACCATCCATCCATCATAAATCTATCCATCCGTCATCCATCCACCATCCATTATTTATCCACAATCCATCCATCCATCCATCTATCAATCATCCATCCGCCATCCATTATTTATCCACAATCCATCCATCCATCCATCCATCCATCTATCAATCCGCCATCCATCCATCTATCAATCATCCATCCGCCATCCATCCATCTGCCATCCATCCATCCATCAACCATACATCCATCCATCAACCATACATCCATCCATCATCCATCCGTCCATCCATCCACCCATCATCTATTCATCCGTCATCCATCCACCATCCATAATTTATCCATAATCCATCCGTCCGTCCATCCATCCATCTATCTATCAATCATCCATCCGCCATCCATCCATCTATCCATCAACCATACATCCATCCATCATCCATCCACCATCCATAATTTATCCATAATCCATCCGTCTGTCCATCCATCCATCCATCCATCCATCCATCTATGTCATCCATCCATCATCTATCCATCCATCCATCCATCCATCCATCCATCTATCCATCAACCATACATCCATCCATCCTTCCATCCATCCACCCATCATCTATCCATCCATCTATGTCATCCATCCATCCATCCATCCATCAAGCATCCATTATCCTTCCAGCCACCATCCACCATCCATCCATCATCTATCCATCCATCATCAATCCGTCCATAATTTATCAATAATCTATCCAACCTTCCCTCATTCATCTGTCCATCCATCCATGCATCCATCCATCAACCATCCATTATCCATCCATCCATCATAAATCTATCTATCCATCATCCATCCACCATCCATTATTTATCCACCATCCATCCATCCATCCATCCATCTGTCAATCCATCCATCTATCTATCAATCATCCATCCACCATCCATCCATCCATCCATCAACCATCCATCCATCCATCCGTCCATCCATCCATCCATCTATCTATCAATCATCCATCCGCCATCCATCCATCCATCTATCCATCAACCATACATCCATCCATCCGTCCATCCATCCACCCATCATCTATTCATCCGTCATTCATCCACCATCCATAATTCATCCATAATCCATCCATCCGTCCATCCATCCATCCATCTATCTATCAATCATCCATCCGCCATCCATCCATCCATCCATCCATCTATCAACCATACATCCATCCATCATCCATCCGTCATCCATCCACCATCCATAATTTATCCATAATCCATCCATCCATCTGTCCATCCATCCACCCATCATCTATCCATCCATCTATGTCATCCATCCATCATCTATCCGTCAAGCATCCATTATCCATCCAGCCACCAGCCACCATCCATCCATCATCTATCCATCCATCATCAATTCGTCCATAATTTATCAATAATCTATCCAACCATCTATCATTCATCTGTCCATCCATCCATCCATCCATCCATCCATCAGTCTATCATTTTTCCAACATGAAGTCACGAATGGGATAAATCACAGCAGATGGCGCTGCTGGACAGACAACACTTAACTCTATTACTGGGACGCAGCATATGAACACACTACATTTGTTAAATCATCTAAATAATCAATGGACTCTTTAAACTTTTCCCAATCTGGAATGATAAAATGTCCATGAAGATATTTTCAACAGCTCCATCCACAACCAGGAAACGTGAGAAAAGACAGAAAACTGCAGACAAATAGTTTTATTTGGACTGATGCTGACTGAGAGGAAATAATCCACAAAAGTATGATAATAGTAATGATAATAATTATTATTATTTGGTAAATTAAATAATAAAGAACTTAAAAACAAAGCCTAGGCTCTTGCTGCGTGGTTACTGCGTGAGCATCAGTAGCTAATATCTAACTGAAGCTAAACATGTCAGAAACTGACGTTTTCTGGCAGAGATGTTTGAAGCGTGGCCCAGGGACCATTTCTGACCCTTGGAGTGGTTTTGTGCCGCCCCCAACTGTGTTTGTGGAAAGTTGGACTTTTGTTTCTTCAGCAGGCTACAGCTGTAGATAAACTCTTCTAATGACCAGATTCCTACTAGTAGGCCCATTTTAGAACAGCACAAATAAAAAAATCACCTTAAAAAAATATTTTTGCATTTTTTTAAAAAATCCCATTTTGTGGCCTGCAAAGATTCTGAATTTAACTCATTTGGTCATCATCTTGGAACGTTTGGAAAGGCCTGTTTTAAGGTAGGAATCGCCTGAATCAACAGGATGCAACACATGGTACCGGGGATTGAGGGGGCGGAGCTTAAATCTGCAGCTACTAGAGAGCGTTTGTAACTGTGTCTGGTCTCCAGAGGATTTTAGTAACTGGTAGTTAATCTGTTAATCCAACAGTAACCACTCCCTGTTAATGACACCATTTCCTGTTTTGTGTGTAGTGTTGGTCTCTGACGCCCTGGCAGGTTTCTCCGTACCTGAGGTGGTCCGTATAGCACGTCTCAAAGACGGTCTCTCCATCCTGGAGCTCTTCCATGGAGACACTTTGGCCTTTAAGGACCTGGCTATGACCTGCACCGTTCACTTCATTAACTACTTCCTACAGAAGGAGAACCGCAGGGCCATTGTTCTAGTTGGTAAGAGACTGGGACATCCATTCCTGGCAGATCATGATGTTTCTTTAGGGCAGATCCAATGTCTGTAAAGGTCTTTAGGGATCTGATCCTCTCAGGAACGTCTGGTGACACCGGCGGCTCGGCCATCCACAGTGCTAAAGGTCTCTCAGAGTTGGATGTCCTGGTTGTCTTTCCTCGAGGACGCGTCACTCCGGTTCAGGAGAAACACATGACTACCTGCCTGGAGGACAACATCCATGTGTTTGCAGGTAGAAGCTGTAAATCAGAGGTCTGCAATCTATGGCTCTGGGACCACATGTGGTCCTGCAGAGTGTCTGCTTGGACCTGATGAATGTTTCTGTGTGATTTGGTAGCAGGTCAGTGGAGTTTTCTGACCTCTTTCAGCTGCTTGTGGGAACTTTAACAGGAACAGATTATTAATATTCACCTAAATCTTTGCTTTAGTGTTGGATCTAAAACGTTAGAGGACCAACAATGTAATGTAGTTTGGATTTTTTCTGTTTAAAGAGCAAGTCACCCCCAGATCACCTTATAAACGAGTGTCTGATAGTGCTGCAGACATGTGCATCTTATTTAAAATGTATAAGTTCAGCTTAAAACCATCAATATTGTGTCTTCGTCAGGTAAAACTCTGCTCTACATTGATTTTTTTATCAGCCATCAGTTGGCTAAAGCTTAATTTACATTTCTCCGTCGGCTCCAGAGACATTTTGCTCTCGGACTTCTCCGTCTCCTGGTGAGTGTTGCAAAGCACTTCCCCTCCAGGACAGCAGAGGGCGTAGCGCTGTTCTGTGGTATCCGGTCCCAGATAGTGCATTAACTAGTGTGTTTATATTGTGTATTTTTTGTTTAAGAGACTTTAATGTGTCCCTCATCCTCCTCCACCCCTCCATGCACGCGCCACCTCTAAATCCACGTTTCCCGTCATTTTCGTCTGCGAATAAAAGGTTTGCTACATGTCTTTTCCCTCCTCCAGTCACGGGTGCATAAACATTTATGTTTTGAGAGTTTTTCCACAAAGTATTCTTCAATCTGCTCCATGTCTGCTGCTAGATATCCTTGGCTCTCTTTCTTTTTGGTGGCACAATGGCACCGCTGTCGATGACATTAGCGTCCTGACCAATCACAAGCTTGCATTCTCCATCTCGTTGGACGGATGTTTAGAAAAGAGAGCTCGACTCCGTGCGTCCTTGCAAGCCTGCTGGAGAGCCCTCGAAAGGATGGATAATGGCGTGGCATGTGTGTCTGTCCAGATGCAGACGAAGTATAAATTAGGCTTTAGAGGCACGCTGTGACGTTGCCCATACCATGTCACATGGCTGCACTGATGCAGAGTCTCAGCCACGCCTCCAGACGGCTCGGCCACGCCTCCAGATGGCTCGGCCGCTCACGACTCTTCAGTCAGAATTGACAAAGCTCCTCGTATGAGAAGCAAATTGTCTTCAAGAAACAAAAGAAGTCCAGTTGTCTTCATTCGGAGCCGTTTGGGCCGCTCACGAGCGATGCAACACAATACGCCTCAGAGCTGCTCGCCTCTAAAAAACATCGTCTTTTCTATTGAAAAACCGGGAGGAGACCTAAAGGGAGACCCAGGACACGCTGGAGGGACTATGTCTTTCAGCTGGCCAGGGAACACCTTGGGATTGCCCCGGAGGAGCTGGCCCAAGTGACTGGGGAGAGGGAAGTCTGGACCTCCCTACTGAGGCTGCTGCCGCCGCGACCCGGCTCCGGATAAGCGGAAGAATATGGATGGATTGTTGTGTGGCTCCATAAATAAAGTTGTTCGGAATGTTTTAGGAGATTCCAGGTCTGAAGAAGCTCCTCTGAAACCAGGCTCACTTCTTGTTTCCTGTTTCTACAGCCGACGGCAGCTCCGACAACATTGACCAGCCCCTTCGTCGTCTGTTTGCGGATCAGAAACTGGTGACGTCACATGGCCTCATGAGCCTCAACTCGGTCAACTGGTCCAGAGTCATGGTGCAAATCGCCCATTTCGTCTATGCCTACATGCAGCTCAGCGGCGTGGAGAGGGGGCTGGAGCTACCAGAGTTTGAGGTGGTGGTTCCAACCGGAGGGGCAGGAAACATCACAGGTGGGTTCAGGTGGTTCTGTTCCAGCACTAATCTGGGATGGCTGGGTTTTCCTGCCTGTTCATGTTATTTGTTTTAAAATTCACCTCCACGAGTGAAAATCCAAATTATCACTGGTAAGTCACCTATTCATCTGCTCTTCATTTATTTTATAAAGACCTTCATACTCAGTAGTGTTGCAGGGAGCCAAAGGACAGGTCTCCATTCCAACACAGGGACAAACAGAGACAAACAACCAGTCACAGCTAGGGACGATTTATAGTCTCCAGTTAAGGTGACAAGAATGTTTTGGTCCATGGGAGGAAACCACAAAAAAAACACTCAAGCATGAGGAGATCATGCTAACTTCACACATGCATGAGAAGAACATGCTAGCTCCACACATGCATGAGAAGAACACGCTAACTCCACACATGCACGGGGAGAACATGCTATCTCCACGCGTACATGTGTAGAACATGCTATCTCCACACGTGCATGAGAAGAATACGCTAACTCACCACATGCATGAGGAGAGCACGCTAACCCCACACATGCATTAGGAGAACATGGTAACTCCACACGTGCATGGGAAGAACATGCCATCTCCACACCTGCATGGGGAGAACACGCTAACTCCCCACATGCATTAGGAGAGAACTCTAACTCCACACATGCATTAGGGGAACATGCTAACTCCACACGTGCATGGGAAAAACATGCCATCTCCACAAGTGCATGGGGAGAACATGCTATCACCACACGTGCATGAGGAGAACACGCTAATTCCACACATGCATGAGGAGAACAAGCTTACTCAACGCATGCATGAGGAGAACATGCTAACTCCACACATGCGTGGGGAGAACATGTTTACTCCACACATGCATGAGGAGAACACATTTATACCACACATGCATGAGGAGAACACGCTAACTCCACACATGCATGAGGAGAACACGCTAACCCCCACACATGCATGAGGAAAACATGCCAACTCCATACATGCATGAGGAGAACAGGCTAACTCCACACATGCATGAGGAGAACAATAACTCCACACATGCATGAGGAGAGCATGTTTACTCCACACTTGCTTGAGGTAAACATGCTAACTTCTCACATGCATGAGGAGAACACAATAACTCCACACATGCATGAGGAGAACATGCTAACTCCACACATGCATGAGGAGAACACACTAACCCCACACATGCATGAGGAGAACATGCTAACTCCACACATGCTTGAGGAGAACATGCTAACTCCACACATGCATGAGGAGAACATGATAACTCCACACATGCATGAGGAGAACACGTTATCTCCACACATGCATGAGAAGAACAGACTAACTCCACGCATGCATGAGGAGAACACGCTAACTTCACACATGCATGAGGAGAACAGGCTAACTCCACACATGCATGAGGAGAACACGCTGACTCCACACATGCATGAGGAGAACAGACTAACTCCACACATGCATGAGGAGAACACGCTGACTCCACACATGCATGAGGAGAACAGGCTAACTCCACACATTTATGAGGAGAACATGCTAACTCCACACATGCATGAGGAGAACACTCTAACTCCACACATGCATGAGGAGAACACGCTAACTCCACACGTGCATGAGGAGAACACGCTAACTCCACACATGCATGAGGAGAACACGCTAACTCCACACATGCATGAGGAGAACACGCCAACTCCACACATGCATGAGGAGAACAGACTAACTCCACACATGCATGAGGAGAACAGGTTAACTCCACACATGCATGAGGAGAACAGACTAACTCCACACATGCATGAGGAGAACACGCTAACCCCCACACATGCATGAGGAAAACATGCCAACTCCATACATGCATGAGGAGAACAGCCTAACTCCACACATGCATGAGGAGAACAATAACTCCACACATGCATGAGGAGAGCATGTTTACTTCACACTTGCTTGAGGTAAACATGCTAACTTCTCACATGCATGAGGAGAACACAATAACTCCACACATGCATGAGGAGAACATGCTAACTCCACACATGCATGAGGAGAACACACTAACCCCACACATGCATGAGGAGAACATGCTAACTCCACACATGCTTGAGGAGAACATGCTAACTCCACACATGCATGAGGAGAACATGATAACTCCACACATGCATGAGGAGAACACGTTATCTCCACACATGCATGAGAAGAACAGACTAACTCCACACATGCATGAGGAGAACACGCTAACTTCACACATGCATGAGGAGAACAGGCTAACTCCACACATGCATGAGGAGAACACGCTGACTCCACACATGCATGAGGAGAACAGACTAACTCCACACATGCATGAGGAGAACACGCTGACTCCACACATGCATGAGGAGAACAGGCTAACTCCACACATTTATGAGGAGAACATGCTAACTCCACACATGCATGTGGAGAACACTCTAACTCCACACATGCATGAGGAGAACACGCTAACTCCACACGTGCATGAGGAGAACACGCTAACTCCACACATGCATGAGGAGAACACGCTAACTCCACACATGCATGAGGAGAACACGCCAACTCCACACATGCATGAGGAGAACAGACTAACTCCACACATGCATGAGGAGAACAGGTTAACTCCACACATGCATGAGGAGAACAGACTAACTCCACACATGCATGAGGAGAACACGCTAACTCCACACGTGGATGAGGAGAACAGGCTAACTCCACACATGCATGAGGAGAACAGGCTAACTCCACTCATGCATGAGGAGAACAGACTAACTCCACACATGCATGAGGAGAACACGCTAACTCCACACATGCATGAGGAGAACAGACTAACTCCACACATGCATGAGGAGAACACGCTAACTCCACACATGCATGAGGAGAACAGGCTAACTCCACACATGCATGAGGAGAACAGTTTAACTCCACACATGCATGAGGAGAACACGCTAACTCCACACATGCATGAGGAGAACAAGCTAACTCCACACATGCATGAGGAGAACAGACTAACTCCACTCATGCATGACGAGAACAGACTAACTCCACACATGCATGAGGAGAACAGGCTAACTCCACTCATGCATGAGGAGAACAGACTAACTCCACACATGCATGAGGAGAACAAGCTAACTCCACACATGCATGAGGAGAACAGGCTAACTCCACTCATGCATGAGGAGAACAGACTAACTCCACACATGCATGAGGAGAACAAGCTAACTCCACACATGCATGAGGAGAACAGACTAACTCCACACATGCATGAGGAGAACACGCTAACTCCACACATGCATGAGGAGAACAGGCTAACTCCACACATGCATGAGGAGAACAGTTTAACTCCACACATGCATGAGGAGAACACGCTAACTCCACACATGCATGAGGAGAACAGGCTAACTCCACACATGCATGAGGAGAACAGTTTAACTCCACACATGCATGAGGAGAACACGCTAACTCCACACATGCATGAGGAGAACAGGCTAACTCCACACATGCATGAGGAGAACAGTTTAACTCCACACATGCATGAGGAGAACACGCTAACTCCACACATGCATGAGGAGAAGAAGCTAACTCCACTCTTATGAGGAGAACACGCTAACTCCACACATGCATGAAGAGAACAGACTAACTCCACACATGCATGAGGAGAACACTAACTCCTTACATGCATGAGGAGAACACTATCTCCACACATGCATGAGGAGAACACTAACTCCACACATGCATGAGGAGAACACTAACTCCACACATGCATGAGGAGAACACGCTATCTCCACACATGCATGAGAAGAACAGACTAACTCCACACATGCATGAGGAGAACATGCTAACTCCACACATGCTTGAGGAGAACACGCTAACTCCACACATGCATGAGGAGAATGTGCTAACTCCACGCATGCATGAGGAGAACATGCTATCTACACACATGCATGGGAAGAACACGCTAACTCCACACATGCATGAGGAGAACATGCTATCTACACACATGCATGAGAAGAACAGACTAACTCCACACATGCATGTGGAGAACACGCTAACTCCACACATGCATGAGGAGAACAGGCTAACTCCACACTCATTAGGAAAACATGCTAACTCCACACATGCATGAGGAGAACAGGCTAACTCCACACTCATTAGGAGAACACACTAACTCCACACATGTATGAGGAGAACAGGCTAACTCCACACATGCATGAGGAGAACACGCTAACTCCACACATGCATGAGGAGAACAGACTAACTCCACACATGCATGAGGAGAACATGCTAACTCCACACATGCATGAGGAGAACACGCTAACCCCACACATGCATGAGAACAGGCTAACTCCACACATGCATGAGGAGAACATGCTAACTCCACACATGCATGAGGAGGACAGGCTAACTCCACACATGCATGAGGAGAACATGCTAACTCCAGACATGCATGAGAAGAACAGGCTAACTCCACACATGCATGAGGAGAACACGCTCACTCCACACATGCATGAGGGGAACACGCTAACTCCACACATGCATGAGAAGAACACGTTAACTCCACACATGCATTGAAAGGCTGAATCCAGGATCTAAACCTCTCAGCAGGGGTGCCAAATATTGGTTCTGGAGAGGCTTTAGTTCAATCAGCAGGGGCCTCATTCATCAAGCTTGCTTACGCACAAAACGGGGTCGGAAAACTGCGTAAGCTACTTTCCTCGCAAACTTTGGGATTAATGAAAGAAAACTTGGTAGAAAAATGTGCGCAACTTTAAGTTGACTAAGGACCTGGCTTACACACATGTTGGACATGGAGAGCACCTGCAGTGCTGCTGCTGAGAAGATACAATTATGAAATCCTGCAGCATTATCACTTGTACTGCTTCATTCTCACACAGAACAAGACCCCCACACGCATACACACACACACACACACACAGCCTGAAGCGCAGAATAGGGAATGCAGAATATCAGCAGGGGGACAGATTGAGACAGAATGTCATGCGTCTGTGACAGTGTGTGTGTGTGTGTCCTGTCACTGTGACCCGATTGATCATGCACCCTGGCTACTTGTATCCTTTCTTCACCAACATGCATCTGGTATTCTTTGATCCAGCTGCCTACATGTTGAAGCTGATGGGTTTGCCTCTGAAGCTGGTTGCCATGGTGAACGCTAACGACATTGTGCACCGGACGGTAACCAAAGGTGACTTTTCCATGACGTCGGACGTCACACAGACTCTGGCTCCTGCCATCGACATCCAGGTGTGTCTGTAGACTCCCTGACCTGCCGAGAGGAAGACCATTGGGTCCGTGTGATTTTCCTCTCAGAACATCTGTTTGTGTTCTGTAGGACCCGTACAACATAGAGCGGATCTTCTGGCTGCTGCTGGACAGCGATGGATCCTCAGTGAAGAACATCATGGAGGAGTTCCAGCGTTCACATCGACACAGTCTGTTGGAGAACCACCGCAGGCTGGTACCAGTCTCTGAATCTGTCTGTCAACCTCAGAACCCATCAGTCGGGTTCTCATCTCCGTTTCCCCTGTAGCTGTCAGAGGTTCTGCTGACTGGGACCGTGGGTGACGAAGAGATCCTGGAGACCATGAGGAGGTGCTGGGAGGAGAACCAGTATGTTATGTGTCCTCATACAGCTGTGGCCGTGTGGCACCAGTACCATCATCCTCACACCGCTGGAATAAACAGGTTCAACACACACACACACACACCCCATGTCTGGGTTTCGTGGGTGGACTGAGTTATTGTTGCTGCAATAACAGCAGGATGGTTGGCGTGCCTGCTGTCGCGGCGCACTAACCATCACCGCCTCATTGTGAGAGCACCTCAACAATAAAAATATGAAACGACTGAGAAATAAATCCCTCAGAAATAACATTTTGTCAACGTCATCAAAGACAAACGCTTGTATGACCTTCAGAAAGACACGTGAACATAAAACTAGAGGAGCACCAAAAACTCGCCCGGTGATCCGAATCAGTCGATATTCATTATGATTGGCCCAATTAGTGAACAGCTGATCTGGAGCTGGACTGAACTCACTATGGCAACGCTAACTAAAACCGAGAGCTCTTTGAGCTAAGGGTCTTCCCGCTGTGAATCAGAAGAGTGGGCATTTCAGCGCAGCAGCAGCAGAGCTTCTACTCTGGCTTTGGTTTGATGAACCTGGATTTTCCAATTCCCAATAAATGTGGAATTGATTGAAATGATTAATAAAATCCAAACCTCGTGTAAAACTAATGAGAGCTTGGGTTTTAGGGCCAATACTGATTCCTGATGGCGAATAATCTCAAAGAACCAGAGGGAAGGGAAAACAACATTCCCTCCTTTCAGATGATCCTGAAATTTCTGATTCTGGAAGGAAAATTTTCCACATGGAGTTGTTGTTGCCGTTAGCGACGGTGCGTTCACGAGATTTGTTTCTCTTCCTGCGTTTTAAACTTTCTCTCTGAACCAAACATCTGACTTCTTCTGTCTGAACTTCAGTGTCTAACCCTGTGTTCTCTGTGGAAACCACTCCTCCAAATGCATTGTGGGAACAGAGACACACCTGTAAGGTGATATTACCTGTGAGCCTTTTCTTACCTGAGCCGTTGTTTTTTATGACTCTGGTTTCAGGTGTTACGTCGCTACAGCGTCTCCAGCCAAGTTCCAAGAGGCGGTGGAGAAGGCGGGGCTGCCCTTTGACCCCCCCTGAGGCGGTGCTGGCTTTGGAGTCGCTGCCCACTCGGTACCAGAACCTGGAGAGGAGCCAGAACTGGTGCGAGGACTGGGAGGACAGACTACGGGCGTGGATCCAGTTTGTGTACTGCGTCAGGATGAAGAGAGGAGTTTGTTACAGCAAGAGTTAATGAAACAGCATCCAGATGTTTCCAGTTCCTCAGGGAGCCCGGTTCCTGTAAAACGGGTCACATCTGGCTGGTTACTATGGCACGGTATGGGGGCCAAAATTAAGACTGCTGCCCAGCAGCAGGAGGCTATATAAACTCCGAAGCAAACTACTGGTCTGATTAATGATAAGCTGGCGCCGGTAACTGAGAGGATGGCGCTGCTTACTGAGAAATATGTTTATGTTTATGTATTTAGCAGACGCTTTTGTCCAAAGCGACTTACAAGTGATAATCGGCATTTTGCCCTTGAGGCTAACAACAACAACAACAACAAATTGACATCAGTCATGGAGAGGAGGGAACAAGGAGTGGACAGTAGAGAGGGGGGACAGGTGCAGACAAGGTGCTAGTTAAGAAGATGCTCTCTGAAGAGCAGGGTCTTCAGGAGTTTCTTGAAAATAGAAAAGGAAGCCGCAGTTCTGGTAGTGTTAGGAAGGTCATTCCACATTTGTGGAACGATGCATGAGAAAAGTCTGGATTGTCCTGAGCGTGGTGTAGGCACTGCTAGCCGACAATCCTGTGATGACCGGAGCGGCCGGGCTGAGACGTAAGCCTTTGCAAGAGGATTCAGGTAGATGGGAGCCGTACCGTCTCGGACTTTGTATGCTAGTGTTAGCAATTTGAATTTGATGCGTGCTGCTAGCGGTAGCCAGTGGAGCTCAATGAACAGAGGGGTGACGTGTGCTCTTTTAGGCTGATTGAAGACCACACGCGCCGCTGCATTCTGGACCATTTGAAGAGGTTTCACAGTACAGCCTGGAAGACCAGTTAGAAGGGCATTGCAGTAATCGAGGCGGGAGATGACAGTAGATTGCACCAGGAGCTGGGTGGCATGTTGTGTTAGGTATGGTCTGATCTTTCGTATGTTATACAGCGCAAAGCGGCATGAACGGGCAACAGAGGCAACATGATCTTTAAAGGTCAGGTGTTCATCAATCACAACACCCAGATTTCGAACTGCCTTTGAAGGAGCCAGAGATAGAAAGTCATTCTGGATTGAGATATTGTGCTGAATGGATGGTTTTGCTGGGATGACAAGTAGTTCAGTTTTAGAGAGGTTGAGTTGGAGATGGTGGGATTTCATCCATTTTGAGATGTCAGAGAGACAGTTTGATATTCGTGCTGAGATAGTGTGGTCGTCCGGTGGAAATGACAGATAGAGCTGGGTGTCATCTGCATAGCAGTGGTAGGAGAAGCCATGTGATCGAATGATCTCACCCAGTGAGGTGGTGTATATGGCAAAGAGAAGAGGTCCTAGTACAGAGCCCTGGGGGACTCCTGTGGCAAGGTGGTGCACGGTAGAGGACTGTCCAAGCCAAGATACGCTGAATGATCGTCCTGTGAGGTAAGATTCAAACCAGGCGTGTGCTTTCTCTGTGATGCCCATGGTAGAGAGTGCTGACAAAAGGAAGCCATGGTTGACAGTGTCAAATGCAGCCGATAAGTCGAGCAGGATAAGCGCTGAGGATTTGGCAGTCGCTCTAGCTTCTTTTAAGGATTCAGTCACTGCTAACAGAGCAGTTTCAGTGGAGTGGCCCTTTTTGAACCCAGATTGGTAAGGGTCAAGCAGACAGTTTTGTGAGAGGTATTCTGTTATCTGCTTGAAAGCCACCCTTTCAATGATTTTGGACAGAAAAGGGAGGAGAGAGATAGGTCGGTAGTTCTATAGGTAGAAATAGCACCTTTACCGGCGTTACTACTAGATACGCTAGGGACTAGCAGCCCTCGGCTGGTTATTGACTGGTTCACACACTCCCTCTGCTGTCTATTAGCATGGATAGGCTAGCGTTAGCCTGGATGGGCTGGTGTTAGCATTGGAGAGGCTAGCCATTAGCATGTCTCGGAGAGTCACTAGTCAGCTAGTGGCCAGCCCAGGCACGCTAATGGCTAGCCTCTCCAATGCTAACGCCAGCCTATCCATGCTAATGGTCCATCAAGGGGGTAGGAAATCCAGCTAGTGGCCAGCCTAGGCACGCTAATGGCTAGCCTCTCCGATGCTAACGCCAGCCTATCCATGCTAATGGTCCATCAAGGGGGTAGGAAATCCAGCTAGTGGCCAGCCTAGGCATGCTAATAGCTAGCTTCTCCAATGCTAACACCAGCCCGTCCAGGCTAACGCTAGCCTATCCATGCTAATAGACAGCAGAGGGAATGTGTGAACCAGTCAATGACCAGCCGAGGGCTGCTAGTCCCTAGCGTATCTGGTAGTAACGCCGGTAAAGGTGCTATTTCTCAGTAAGCAGCGCCAGCCTCTCAGTTACCTGCGCTAGCTTATCATTAATCAGATCGGTAGTTTGCTTCATAATTTATATAGCCTCCTGCTGCTGGTCAGTAGTCTTAATTTTGGCCCCCATACTGCGCCATAGATTAGGACCGTTAACCAGAAACCTGATGTTACTGTAAACTGCAGTAAATTCATGTTTGGAAACAATAAAACCATCTGGTCACCGTCTGGTTCTTTATCATTAAAACACAGAATGACTGAAACTCGGAGCTGGTTATAGGAGCTGCTCCGGAGCATCCAGGCGTGTGTTAACATCAGCAGGATCCTCGGAGAAGAAACTTTTGCTGCTGATCATTCTGGTAAAGGTCAAAGGTCAGAAAACCTGGTTTAGACCTTCAGACAGCTGATCCTGAACCAGTTTAACAGGCTAGAGGAAATGTTAGAGACTTCTTTATCCCGGTCCGAGTTTAAATGCTCGACCGGACCGGAACGTTTCCCGGCTGGAATCAGGAATGCCAACATGTAACTTTACCGGGAAGGAACCAGAACATCACATGATGTTTTCAGCCAAGATTTTAGGAGGGAAAGTTAATGAAAATTACACATTTTATTTTAAACTCAAAAACATTTCACAGCAAACTTTATTGAACTTAGGAACAAAACAGCAACGTTTATCAGTTAAAGGACTCCAACGCCGGTCCAATATGGAAGTCATTCTGATGTTTAAAGACTACCAGCAAACATTTCATCCATAAACATCCTCCTGCAGAGATTTAACAGCTACGTTGACCTCCTGGTGACCCGAGCCAAAGAAATCATCACCAGATCAAGGCCCAGTCCCAAAACTCGCACTTCCACACTTGTGCGATCCCGACCGACGGTGCAAGAGCGTAGGGTGTCCCGATTCTCAAAAGCGGAAGTTGTTCACACCTCTTTTGCACCCTTGATCCACACTTAACCCAAGTCTGCATCAATGTGGACTTGGATGAAGGCTGTTACCCACAATCCATTAGGGATAAACGGCTCAAGTTCCTTTCCTGAAAATATTCATTTTCTAATGAAATTAGTTAATTTCAGGATGATTACTTGATGCTCTGAATGTTTTCGACGAAGCAGCCATGAATGTAAATATGTTTCAAATAACTGTTTGGTTGTTTGTTTGAAAGTTGTTTATAAAGGTTTTTGACAAAAAGATCACAGCGACCAGCATCCCGGCATGGTCGATGGCACAACGCTTCCCGTTTTCCACATTAATGAACCGCGCACATGTTGCTGACGACCACAGGGTGAGTGTTGGGGTTGGGTCTGAGTCCACACCTCACTGGTGTCGTGTGAGCTGAGAAGTGCAATTTGATTGGTTAAAGCCACTTGACTGGATAATTATAAAGATGGCTTTGGTCAGGCGGATGTCGCTTCAGTTGATGTTGAGTTTTTGTTCAAATGCTGCAGTTTATTTTTTACTGACAGATTTTTTGTTGATGCAATTTTATGAAATATTTTAAGTAAAAAAAAACAAATTCATAATTTCACTGAACAAAAACTTCTAACTCTTGAATTCCACGACTAAAAAGTCATATTCTAGTTGTAATTTTTCCATAGTTGAACAATAAAGGTCATTTTAAATTTACAAGAAGGAAATAAAAAACCATCTTATGAAGTCAAAAGAAAATAAAAGACATTTACATGAAATCATCTTTATTCATTTACATGATTAGATTTTAACTATTTTAAAATTTATTGTTTCTCATCAGGCTTGGACTTTAAAACTTCATTTATGAAAATATGAGATTCATTAGTTTAAAGGTCAATGTTTTTATTGATTAAGTGAATCCCCTTTGACCCACACTCCCTGCTGGTCAGTGAATACGTAACTGCGTATTAACCGAGGGTCCATGAACGCACCGCGGGCTCTGACTGTAAACCATCCGAGGGTCACTGAACGCAACGCACCACAGGCTCTGACAGCTAAACATGGCGGCTGTTGGATGAAGCAGCTTTATTGTCTCTGTCAGCAGACAGGAAACAAACCGAACCGGTTTGGACCTACTGAGCGGTTCAGAGGACATCTCCCCTCCTCCTCTGGCAGGTTTCAGCCTGGGTGTTGTGGCGGGAGAAGGGAGCGGACCGACGTGACAGCAGCGGGGGTTCCTCACCTGTCCCCTGGGATGTGTCCCAGGTAGGAGACGTGGCAGCTGGCGAACGTCTCGTCGTTTCCCGCTCCGGTAAGCGGACACGAGTCTAACCTGTTCGGTGATCAAACCCACTAAAGTTTTCTTGTTGGGTTTAAAAACAGACACGTTTAAATGACCCTGGTCACGTGACCCCGCCCTCGGGTCTCAGGTAAACCCAGAACAGGTAGAGTGGTTCTGGTTGTTTTCCGTCACAAGGACCAGAACTGTTGTGGTTCCGTTTGAGTCGTGTCTTCTGTCCTTTTTCCCATCAGCCACTGCTTCCAGCTTCCAGCTCCCACAGGAGCCACACTTACCTGACCTCCGGTGTGACGCAGACTCACTGGACTCTGGTTCCGGATCGCCACGACAACACCGGGACACAAACTTCTTCTGCTGGGTCTGAATCTCAGAGACTTTTACCAAAATTCCTGCCCCCCCATGTGAGGAAAATGCGAGTCCTCGCAGACGTCTGGAACATCCGGGAAACTCCCTGGTGCATGGCTACTGTCACTCAGCGAGACCGGTTCTGGTTCTGGCCCAAGAGAAAATTAATTCTTCCTTTTGTCTTTGTCTCTGCAGGTGACGCACGCACGCGCACACACACACACACACACGCACGCACGCACACACACACACACACAGCTGCTGAGGATGGCCTCACCCCCATCGAAACCTCCCACAGCCCTGGACTCCCTGTCTGTCTCCTCCCTGCTGTCTGGAGACCTGGACGATGGGGGAGGAGAGGAGGAGGAGGCGGGTCTGGGAGACCTGGAGGTGAACCCGTACGATGGTTTACCGTTCTCCTCGCGGTACTACTCCCTCCTGGAGGAGAGGCAGCAGCTTCCTGTGTGGCGTCTTCGGCAGAGCCTCCTGGAGCAGCTGGAGAGCCGCAGCATGCTGCTGCTCAGCGCTCCCGGCGGAGCTGGGAAAAGCACCCAGGTAAGCAGTCCCACACAGATCTCACAGAACTGGGTACCTGACATCATGAACCCATCCGGTTCCGGGTTAGGGTTTAGTTTTAGGAGACAGGTGTGACCCAACGCTTGATGTGAAGCATCTACTGGCCCGGAGGCAGGGGATGCTGGGTAGTGTTTCCATGGAAACCAGACTCGGCTGACAGTGTTGGTTGTCCTGACACCTGGAAATGTCCTCACATGGACACTGTGGCAGAGAGAACACAGGACACTTGTTTTGGACTGGTGTGGTGTGATGACATCATCTGACATCCTGACCTTTGACCCTCTAACTGCTGACTGATGGGATTATGAAATCGTGCGTCTGGGATTTCACCGACAGGGACGTTAGGAAGGCTTTTGTTTGTTTTCGTTCAGCTCAGCGACCTGCAGGTTCTGAGCCAAGCCCGGTTCTGTGAGTGCTAGGGTGGAGCTGGGCCAGAACCTTTAACCCACCTCCCTCAGCCCCACCCCCAGGAGGGGAGACACCTCATCACCTCCTGCTCCTCCTCCCTGCAGGTTCCTCAGTGGTGTGCGGAGTTTGCGCTGTCCTTTGAGTTCTGCCACGGTCTGGTCTGCTGCTCGCAGCCGTACTCGGTGGCGGCGCAGAGTCTGGCTCTTCGTGTGGCCGACGAGATGGACCTCAGTCTGGGCCTGGAGGTGGGCTACAGGGTGTCTCATGACAACAGCTGCACACCTGACACCCTACTCAGGTAGGACTCTGTGGCTGGGAGGAACAAAGGTCTTGGGGGGGTTTGGACCTGTGGTCATGTGCCGGTTCTGTGTGTTCTCTGCAGGTTTGTCAGCGACTTCCTGCTGCTGGAGGAGATGATGTCAGACCCTCTGCTGCACCAGTACGGGGTGGTGGTTCTGGACGAGCTGCAGGAGCGGACCGTTCCCACCGATGTGCTGCTCGGCCTTCTCTGTGACGTCTGCCGCCAGAGGCCCGACTTCCGGGTGGTTCTGCTCACTGACCCGACGCTGGCTCCCCGCCTCGCTGCCTTCCTGGGACCCTCCGTGCCTCATCTCCACCTAGAGCAGCCTCTCCCTGAGGCCCCGGGCCAGGACACTGGAGCAGAGGACGGGAGGTCTGTGGACAGAGTGGACATCATGTACAGGGAGCTGTCCTCTGGGAAGGAACCGGTGTCTGCGTCCTGCCACTTGGTTCTGGACCTCCACCGACGAGGAGAGGGAGGAGACGTGATGGTGTTCCTGGCTGGTGCTCAGGTGAGCATTCCTAATTTATACCTGGATCAGGACTTTGGTTCTGGTGCAGAGTCGGGTCAGGCAGCTGGAGACTCCCAGTAGAACCCTGAGGTTCTGGAGGTTCTCCTCCTGGCTGTGATGTCATCAGAGCTGCTTTGTTCTGGTTCTGGTCTACTCTGTGATTAGCAAAGATAAGCGGGTCAGACCCGGCAGGTTCTGTTTTAGGTTTTGTTTCTGACGAGTGTGACCCGAGACGAACTCCTGCATCATGTTCCTTCTGCCGTACGGTCTGGTTCTGGTTCTGATGCAGGTTCCTGTTTCCCTGTAGGAGATAGAAGAGTGTTTGGTTCTGTTGGAGAAGGAGTCTGTAGCTCTGAGTCCTCAGCTCGGCCCGCTCCGGTTCTACCCCCTCCACGCTGGACTGGCTGGTCTGACCCAGAAGGTCTACGAGTCAGAACCTGACCCGTCGGTGTTGAACGAGACCCATGGCTCTGAGGGTCTGGAGACCGAAGGCGTGGGCGTTCAACGGAAGGTGTTCCTCACCGACACACTCGCCGAGGCGTCATTCTCCCTGAGAGGGGTCCGCTACGTCATCGACTCGGGTCTGCAGATCAGAACCGTGAGTTTGTCCGCTGGTGTTGTTTTGTTGAAACGTGTCGCAGAGATGCCGGATGCATCGGTAGAAGAAAGGCTAAAGGGGACAGAGTGTGTGGAGGACACGCTTCTCTCCAGAACACGACTGTTTAACCTAAAATGACCTAAAATGACCCGAGTCAAAGCAACCTTGGATCGAGTCAGGTGGCGTTTAGCCAACCAAATGACACGTCTGTGCTCATGTGACTCCAGTGAGGCGTCGACCTGGTTGAGTGACGGCTGCTTTGGCCCGGGTCACCAGGAGGTCACCTCAGCTGTAGAATTTTTACAAATACATTTTTTCTGGTGTTTAAACAATAAGCGTAATTTTACGGAATAAATATTTGACATTAAAAAAAGTCATTTTCTGGTGAGACCAGGGGCGGATTTAGGACTGAAGAAGATCCGGGGCTAAACACACACACACGCGCGCGCGCACACACACGTGCGCGCGCACACACACGTGACACGCTCTAGTCAGCATCATATGTATTTGTCTTGACCTGATAGGACTCTTTCTTCAGCCTGACAGCATCCCTAACCGCCGGTGTCCACCAGCAGGTTTGGGGGTTGCCACCACAACAGGCACCGACGACCCTGCGACCAGAGCTCCGGTCGGCCGCCTCAACAATGGAGGCACGGAACAGGGTCCATTCAGACTCAATGCCCCCCGCCTTCCCCGGAACATTTTGGAAGTTCTGTCAGAGGTGGGAATTGAAGCTCCTTCTGCCAGACGTTCCCAGCAGACCCTCGCGATACGTTTGGGCCTGCCTGGTCTGACCGGCATCCTCCCCCACCATCTGAGCCAACTCACCACCAGGTAGTGGTCAGTTGACAGCTCCGCCCCTCTCTTCACCCGAGTGTCCCAAGTCATGCGGCCGCAGGTCAGATGAAACAACAACAAAGTCGATCATCGAGCTGTGGCCTAAGGTATCGTGGTGCCAAGAGCACATATGGACACCTTTACGTCTGAACAAGGTGTTCATTATGGACAATCCATGACTGGCACAGAAGTCCAATAACAAAACACCACTCGAATTCAGATCAGGGGGGGACGTTCCTCCCAACCACACCTCTCCAGGTCTCACTGTCGTTGCCCACGTGAGCGTTAAAGTCCCCCAGCAGAACGAGGGAGTCACCAGAAGGAGCGCTTTCCAGCACCCCCTCCAAGGTCTCCAAAAAAGGGTGGGTAGTCTGAACTGTAGTTTGGTGCATGAGCACAGACCACAGTCAGAACCCGTCCCCCCACACGTAGGCGGAGGGAGGGTACCCTCTCATTCACTGGGGTAAACCCCAACGTACAGGCACCAAGATGGGGGGCAACTAGCATGCCCACCCCTGCTCGGCGCCTCTCAGTGGGAGCAACTCCAGAGTGGTAGAAAGACCAACCCCTCTCAAGGAAACTGGTTCCAGAGCCAGAGCCATTCGTTGAGGTGAGTCCGACTATATCTAGTCGGAACCTCTCAACCTCACACACCAACTCAGGCTCCTTCCCCACCAGAGAGGTGACATTCCATGTGCCAAGAGCCAGCTTCTGTAGCCGAGGATCAGACCGCCAAGGTCCCCGCCCTCGACTACCACCCGTCACACACTGCACCGACCCCTTTGGCCCTTCCCATGAGTGGTGAGCCCATGGGAAGGGGGACCCATGTTTCCTCTTCGGGCTGTGCCCGGCCACCAGGCGCTCGCCAACGTGCCCCACCTCCAGGCCTGGCTCCAGAGGGGGGTCCCTCAATTTATCTGATGGTCTAAAAATGGTAGTTTAATAATTTTAGTATAACTCTGGTTTAACTTGGGCTATTAACAGAAATAATAACTGGTGTGTGGTTTGTAATCCACATTTTAAACATGAACTGAAACCGAAGCTCAGAGAGGCGGAGTCTTGCTGCTGCATCTCAAGCTTCTTCATTAAACTACAGCTTTGTTAGCTGCTGAGCTGAGGCGGCACCAGGGAGCCATATGTGATCATTTATGAGTTTTCAGGCTGTGGCGGGAATGTGGGGTGTCTGTGTGTTTAATTTCACTAAGATGGTGGTGACAAGCTCTGATATGACAAAACGGTGATAAAATGCATTAAAAATTGTGGTCACCATGGTTATCATGATGATTGTTCAATAATCAGAATGAAGGACCCTAAATAAAAATCGAATCATGAGAAACCTAAAATTGCACTCTCCTGTCACAGTCTCTTGTTTTCATTTTTTGCAAATAAGTCAAATGATATGAAAAATAATACTGTGATAGAATATTTTTCCATTTCACCCAGCCTAGTGTCTATGGGATCTGTTGGTGGGATGTGTTTGTGTCTATGGAATGTTTTGGTGTCTTCGGGACGTGTTGGTGTCCACGGGGCTTGTTTGTTTCTATGTGACGTGTTTGTTTCTATGTGACGTGTTGGTGTCTATGTGACGTGTTGGTGTCTATGTGACGTGTTGGTGTCTATGTGACGTGTTGGTGTCTATGTGACGTGTTGGTGTCTATGTGACGTGTTGGTGTCTATGTGACGTTTTGGTGTCTACGGGACGTGTTGGTGTCTATGTGACGTGTTGGTGTCTATGTGACGTGTTGGTGTCTATGTGACATGTTGGTGTCTATGTGACGTTTTGGTGTCTACGGGACGTGTTGGTGTCTATGTGATGTTTAGTGTTATGGGACCTGTTGGTGGGATGTGTTTTTGTCTACGGTATGTGTTGGTGTCTATGTAACGTGTTGGTGTCTACAGGGTGTGTTTGTTTCTATGTGACGTGTTGGTGTCTATGTGACGTGTTGGTGTCTACGGGGCTTGTTTGTTTCTATGTGAAGTGTTGGTGTCTATGTGACGTGTTGGCGTCTATGTGACGTTTTGGTGTCTACGGGACGTGTTGGTGTCTATGTGATGTTTAGTGTTATGGGACCTGTTGGTGGGATGTGTTGGTGTCTACGGTATGTGTTGGTGTCTATGTAACGTGTTGGTGTCTACAGGGTGTGTTTGTTTCTATGTGACGTGTTGGTGTCTATGTGACGTGTTGGTGTCTATGTGACGTGTTGGTGTCTACGGGGCTTGTTTGTTTCTATGTGACGTGTTGGTGTCTATGTGACGTGTTGGTGTCTACGGGGCTTGTTTGTTTCTATGTGACGTGTTGGTGTCTATGTGACGTGTTGGCGTCTATGTGACGTTTTGGTGTCTACGGGACGTGTTGGTGTCTATGTGATGTTTAGTGTTATGGGACCTGTTGGTTGGATGTGTTGGTGTCTACGGTATGTGTTGGTGTCTATGTGACGTGTTGGTGTCTACGGGGTGTGTTTGTGTCTATGTGACGTGTTGGTGTCTATGTGTTGTGTTGGTGTCTATGGAACGTTTTGGTGTCTATGGGACGTGTTGGTGTCTATGTGACGTGTTGGTGTCTATGTGACGTTTTGGTGTTGGTGTCTACGGGACGCGTTGGTGTGATGTTTAGTGTTATGGGACCTGTTGGTGGGACGTGTTGGTGTCTACGGGGTGTGTTTGTTTCTATGTGACGTGTTGGTGTCTATGTGACGTGTTGGCGTCTATGTGACGTTTTGGTGTCTATGTGATGTGTTGGTGTCTACAGGGCTTGTTTGTTTCTATGTGACGTGTTGGTGTCTATGTGACGTGTTGGCGTCTATGTGACGTTTTGGTGTCTACGGGACGTGTTGGTGTCTATGTGATGTTTAGTGTTATGGGACCTGTTGGTGGGATGTGTTGGTGTCTACGGTATGTGTTGGTGTCTATGTGACGTGTTGGTGTCTACGGGGTGTGTTTGTGTCTATGTGACGTGTTGGTGTCTATGTGTTGTGTTGGTGTCTATGGAACGTTTTGGTGTCTATGGGACGTGTTGGTGTCTATGTGACGTTTTGGTGTTGGTGTCTACGGGACGCGTTGGTGTGATGTTTAGTGTTATGGGACCTGTTGGTGGGACGTGTTGGTGTCTACGGGGTGTGTTTGTTTCTATGTGACGTGTTGGTGTCTATGTGACGTGTTGGCGTCTATGTGACGTTTTGGTGTCTATGTGACGTGTTGGTGTCTACAGGGCTTGTTTGTTTCTATGTGACGTGTTGGTGTCTATGTGACGTGTTGGCGTCTATGTGACGTTTTGGTGTCTACGTGACGTGTTGGTGTCTATGTGATGTTTAGTGTTATGGGATCTGTTGGTGGGATGTGTTGGTGTCTACGGTATGTGTTGGTGTCTATGTAACGTGTTGGTATCTACAGGGTGTGTTTGTTTCTATGTGACGTGTTGGTGTCTACGGGGTGTGTTTGTGTCTATGTGACGTGTTTGTGTCTATGTGTTGTGTTGGTGTCTATGTGACGTGTTGGTGTCTATGTGACGTGTTGGTGTCTATGTGACGTTTTGGTGTCTACGGGACGTGTTTGTGTCTATGTGACGTGTTGGTGTCTATGTGTTGTGTTGGTGTCTATGGAACGTTTTGGTGTCTATGGGACGTGTTGGTGTCTATGTGACGTGTTGGTGTCTATGTGACGTGTTGGTGTCTATGTGTTGTGTTGGTGTCTATGGAACGTTTTGGTGTCTATGGGACGTGTTGGTGTCTATGTGACGTGTTGGTGTCTACGGGGTGTGTTTGTTTCTATGTGACGTGTTGGTGTCTATGTGACGTGTTGGCGTCTATGTGACGTTTTGGTGTCTATGTGACGTGTTGGTGTCTACAGGGCTTGTTTGTTTCTATGTGACGTGTTGGTGTCTATGTGACGTGTTGGCGTCTATGTGACGTGTTGGTGTCTATGTGACGTGTTGGCGTCTATGTGACGTTTTGGTGTCTACGTGACGTGTTAGTGTCTATGTGATGTTTAGTGTTATGGGATCTGTTGGTGGGATGTGTTGGTGTCTACGGTATGTGTTGGTGTCTATGTAACGTGTTGGTATCTACAGGGTGTGTTTGTTTCTATGTGACGTGTTGGTGTCTACGGGGTGTGTTTGTGTCTATGTGACGTGTTTGTGTCTATGTGTTGTGTTGGTGTCTATGTGACGTGTTGGTGTCTATGTGACGTTTTGGTGTCTACGGGACGTGTTTGTGTCTATGTGACGTGTTGGTGTCTATGTGTTGTGTTGGTGTCTATGGAACGTTTTGGTGTCTATGGGACGTGTTGGTGTCTATGTGACGTGTTGGTGTCTATGTGACGTGTTGGTGTCTATGTGTTGTGTTGGTGTCTATGGAACGTTTTGGTGTCTATGGGACGTGTTGGTGTCTATGTGACGTGTTGGTGTCTACGGGGTGTGTTTGTGTCTATGTGACGTGTTGGTGTCTATGTGTTGTGTTGGTGTCTATGGAACGTTTTGGTGTCTATGGAACGTTTTGGTGTCTATGTGACGTGTTGGTGTCTATGTGACGTTTTGGTGTCTACGGGACGTGTTTGTGTCTATGTGACGTGTTGGTGTCTATGTGACGTGTTGGTGTCTATGGAACGTTTTGGTGTCTATGGGACGTGTTGGTGTCTATGTGACGTGTTGGTGTCTATGTGACGCTTTGGTGTTGGTGTCTACGGGGCGCGTTGGTGTGATGTTTAGTGTTATGGGACCTGTTGGTGGGACGTGTTGGTGTCTACGGGGTGTGTTTGTTTCTATGTGACGTGTTTGTGTCTATGTGTTGTGTTGGTGTCTATGGAACGTTTTGGTGTCTATGTGACGTGTTGGTGTCTATGGAACGTTTTGGTGTTGGTGTCTACGGGACGCGTTGGTGTGATGTTTAGTGTTATGGGACCTGTTGGTGGGACGTGTTGGTGTCTACGGGGTGTGTTTGTTTCTATGTGACGTGTTGGCGTCTATGTGACGTGTTGGTGTCTATGTGACGTGTTGGCGTCTATGTGACGTTTTGGTGTCTACGTGACGTGTTAGTGTCTATGTGATGTTTAGTGTTATGGGATCTGTTGGTGGGATGTGTTGGTGTCTACGGTATGTGTTGGTGTCTATGTAACGTGTTGGTATCTACAGGGTGTGTTTGTTTCTATGTGACGTGTTGGTGTCTACGGGGTGTGTTTGTGTCTATGTGACGTGTTTGTGTCTATGTGTTGTGTTGGTGTCTATGTGACGTGTTGGTGTCTATGTGACGTTTTGGTGTCTACGGGACGTGTTTGTGTCTATGTGACGTGTTGGTGTCTATGTGTTGTGTTGGTGTCTATGGAACGTTTTGGTGTCTATGGGACGTGTTGGTGTCTATGTGACGTGTTGGTGTCTATGTGACGTGTTGGTGTCTATGTGTTGTGTTGGTGTCTATGGAACGTTTTGGTGTCTATGGAACGTGTTGGTGTCTATGGAACGTTTTGGTGTCTATGGGACGTGTTGGTGTCTATGTGACGTGTTGGTGTCTATGTGACGCTTTGGTGTTGGTGTCTACGGGGCGCGTTGGTGTGATGTTTAGTGTTATGGGACCTGTTGGTGGGACGTGTTGGTGTCTACGGGGTGTGTTTGTTTCTATGTGACGTGTTTGTGTCTATGTGTTGTGTTGGTGTCTATGGAACGTTTTGGTGTCTATGTGACGTGTTGGTGTCTATGGAACGTTTTGGTGTTGGTGTCTACGGGACGCGTTGGTGTGATGTTTAGTGTTATGGGACCTGTTGGTGGGACGTGTTGGTGTCTACGGGGTGTGTTTGTTTCTATGTGACGTTTTGGTGTCTATGTGACATGTTGGTGTCTACAGGGTGTGTTTGTTTCTATGTGACATTTTGGTGTCTACGGGACGCTTTGGTGTCTGTATGATGTATTTTCTCTTAAAGTTTTTCTATTTCCTGAAGCAGGTCTATAATCCTCAAATCCGAGCCAACTCCCAGGTTCTGAGGCGCATCAGCAGACACCAGGCAGACATGAGAGCTCAGAGGGTCACCAGTCACCTTCCAGGTACATTTTCTAACAACTCAAAGAAAACGTGAACCAGCCAGAACATTATGACCCCTTGTTACCTGGTTACCATGGCAAGAATCTCCTGGCTGCAGAACTCCGGAGAACTTCAAAATCACAAGGGTTTTATTGCCATATGTGTGAGAAATCACAACATTGGGAAATTGCTGCGGTACTTGGTGCAAGAACAAATAAACGATAAGCAAAAATTAGAATGAAGAAATAAACACAATAAAATGATAATATAGGGAGACAATAGTTAATGAAGCAGCTACTTTATACAAGTCAGTGTAGGTACTGGTCAGAGCGGGTCAGTTCAGGTGCAAACACAAAACAGGGTCATGTGACTGAAACAAAGCAGCTGGAGTGGGCGGGTCTACGATTGTCATCCGTGAGGCCAACTACAGAGGGGAAGAAACTGTTCTTGTGGCGAGAGATTCTGGTCTGAATGGAAAGTGTGCCCGCTGTCTTCTGGGTGTTTAGCACCAGGTTGTCGTGGCTGCACCAGGGACACCAGCCGTTCCACCTCAGTTCTGTAGGCAGACTCATCCCCGTCAGAGATGAATCCGATGACGGTGGTGTCGTCTGCAAACTTGATAAGCCGATAGATTATATATTTTCTTCATCAAGTTGACGCAGTGATAGCTAGATCTTGTTGTATTATTGTTGTGTCCCTTTTTTTTTTTGTCTTTCTGCAGGTCTAGAAGCAGACTCTTGTTCATTGTTTATTTTTGTGGAACGCCCCCCCCCCCCCCCTCTCTCTCTCTCTCCCCACCTTTTCTTTTCCTTTCTCTTTCACCTCTGTCTCCGTGTCTGGTCGGAATTACAAAGCATTCAACAACAATAACAATAAAGTTTTAAGTATCAGGCGTGACATTAAAAGCAAACGCTTTGATGCTCCACCTGAGAATAAATCTGTAAGGCTTGTCACCAGCATTCAGACATCAATTCTGCTTGCTTCACAGCCAGACAGGACACGGTAAAAAAAAAAAAAAAAGAGATGAATCCGATGACGGTGGTGTCGTCTGCAAACTTAATAAGCTTGACCGACTCATGGTTGGAGGTCCGGCTATTGGTGTACAGGGAGAAGATCAGAGAGGAGAGAACACAGTCCTGAGGGGAACCGGTGCTGATGGTCCACAGGTCCGAGACATTCAGGAGGACCAAAACAAATATATTTATAAAGCACATTTAAAAACAGTATGACAGCTGACCAGAGTGCTTCACAAAGGAGCATGAATGCTCTGTAAATGTATGGCAAACAACGATAATTCACAATGCCAGGATCCTAAGATAAAATACACAGAAAAACAGAATACTAAGATAATGTGCAAAAGCAAGAGTGTCAATGTACAGTAAAAGAGCTGAAGTAGAACACAATAAAAGCCGGCTTAGGGTACAGGAAAATAAACGGAGAGTAATGAAACGTATAGCGAATTTGAACAATCACTGGCCAAATGCCAAATCATAGAAGTGGGTCTTCAGTAGGGACTTGAAACGGATGAGGGAAGGTGTCTGACAGACATGGTAAAAGCGTTCCAGAGTGTGGGGGCCACAAACACAAAAACCCGTTCCCACCCACGATTTATAATTCATGGTATGTGTGGGAAGTAACAGAAGGTCAGCTGACCTCAAGGTGTGTACTGTATTCAGGTCCAATAAATAGAACAGGGCCAGACAGAGCCGGATTAAATAAATGAACTACACTAGGCAGGCTGCATTTTTTTGCCCCCCCCCCCCCCCCCCCCCCCCGATGTTATTTAATGAACTGAAATCTGAAACTTACCAAAGTTACTAATAAAAGTTCATTCACATTTTACATAGCCTAGTTTTTGGTTACAAATTGGTTGTTTGTATGCCAGAATAAGTCATGTGTTGTATGTTAAATATTCTATCAGACTTTTTTTTGTTATTAATAATTTATATCTCATTACACAGCTGTATTAAATGATAATAAATTATCCTCATCTTATCTATTGGGAGTGTCAATGTTAAGGCAGTAGTACCAGTAAATAACCTAGGTGTCATTAAACTATGTAAACAGAGCAAATATATTTATCTTATTTGCTCTGTTTACATTTAACCAGTAGCTAGCTGTCAATTTTTATTGGGGGACAATGGGGGGTCCTGGTCATTTCAAGGAGGTTCTCAAGAAAACAAAAAATGCAGTGGACAGCTAGTAACTGCATATTACTGCTACTAAACAGCAAAATACTACAACTACTTTGTTTTTAATTAATTAGTCAATTGCAGTGTGCAAATAATATCCTTTAATTGCCATAGCCACACCCCCATGACACAAAACACCCATGACAGAACACATATTTACAAAATAGTATCTACTCTCATACTCTCACCACTTCTGCCCAGTTTCCCCCTCCTGTCTTCTTCTCTGCTCCTCTACTCTCCAGTGTCCTCCTGTCATCTTCTCTGCTCCTCTACTCTCCAGTGTCCTCCTGTCATCTTCTCTGCTCCTCTTAAGTCTCCATTCTCCACTTGTCTTCTCTCCATTCTCCACTTGTCTTCTCTCCATTCTCCACAGCTGTGATTTACTGCAACATATGAGTTTATAGTACACAAGAATAGGTTAGTATTTATGCTAACAACAGCAACACAATAGAAAGAGATTCACTTTTCTCACATTACTGACCGCTCTTTTGTCCAGTCTCCTCCAGTCTTCTTCTCTGCTCCTCTACTCTCCAGTGTCCTCCTGTCTTCTTCTCTGCTCCTCTACTCTCCAGTGTCCTCCAGTCTTCTTCTCTGCTCCTCTACTCTCCAGTGTCCTCCTGTCTTCTTCTCTGCTCCTCTTTTCTCCAGCCTCCTCCTGTCATCTTCTCTGCTCCTCTACTCTCCAGTCTCCTCCTGTCATCTTCTCTGCTCCTCTACTCTCTAGTGTCCTCCAGTCTTCTTCTCTGCTCCTCTTCTCTCCAGTCTCCTCCTGTCTTCTTCTCTGCTCCTCTACTCTCCAGTGTCCTCCAGTCTTCTTCTCTGCTCCTCTTCTCTCCAGTCTCCTCCTGTCATCTTCTCTGCTCCTCTTTTCTCCAGCCTCCTCCTGTCATCTTCTCTGCTCCTCTTAAGTCTCCATTCTCCACAGCTGTGATTTACTGCAACATATGAGTTTATAGTACACAAGAATAGGTTAGTATTTATGCTAACAACAGCAACACAATAGAAAGAGATTCACTTTTCTCACATTACTGACCGCTCTTTTGTCCAGTCTCCTCCTGTCTTCTTCTCTGCTCCTCTACTCTCCAGTGTCCTCCAGTCTTCTTCTCTGCTCCTCTACTCTCCAGTGTCCTCCTGTCTTCTTCTCTGCTTCTCTACTCTCCAGTGTCCTCCTGTCTTCTTCTCTGCTCCTCTACTCTCCAGTCTCCTCCTGTCGTCTTCTCTGCTCCTCTACTCTCCAGTGTCCTCCTGTCTTCTTCTCTGCTCCTCTACTCTCCAGTGTCCTCCAGTCTTCTTCTCTGCTCCTCTTCTCTCCAGTCTCCTCCTGTCTTCTTCTCTGCTCCTCTACTCTCCAGTGTCCTCCTGTCATCTTCTCTGCTCCTCTTAAGTCTCCATTCTCCACTTGTCTTCTCTCCATTCTCCACTTGTCTTCTCTCCATTCTCCACAGCTGTGATTTACTGCAACATACAGGTGCTGGCCAGTAAATTAGAATATCATCAAAAGGTTGAAAATATTTCAGTAATTCCATTCAAAACGTGAAACTTGTACATTATATTCATGCAATGCACACAGACCAATGTATTTCCAATGTTCATTACATTTAAATTTGATATTCATAAGTGACAACTAATGAAAACTCCAAATTTGGTATCTCAAAAAATTAGAATATTCTGAAAAGGCTGAATATAGAAGACACCTGCTGCCACTCTAATCAGCTGATTTACTCAAAACACCTGCAAAGGCCTTTAAAAGGTCCCTCAGTCTTGTTTTGAAGGCACCACAATCATGGGGAAGACTTCTGACTTAACAGCTGTCCAAAAGACAATCATTGACACCTTGCACAAGGAGGGCAAGACACAAAAGGTGATTGCTAAAGAAGCTGGCTGTTCGCAGAGCTCTGTGTCCAAGCACATTAACAGACAGGCGAAGGGACGGAAAAAATGTGGTAGAAAAAAGTGTACAAGCTCTAGGGATAACCGCACCCTGCAGAGAATTGTGACGACAAACCCATTCAAAAATGTGGGGGAGATCCACAAAGAGTGGACTGCAGCTGGAGTCAGCGCTTCAAGAACCACCACGAGGAGACTCATGAAAGACATGGGATTCAGGTGTCGCATTCCGTGTGTCAAGCCACTCTTGAACAAGAAACAGCGCAAGAAGCGTCTCGCCTGGGCCAAGGACAAAAAGGACTGGACTGATGCTGAGTGGTCCAAAGTTATGTTTTCTGATGAAAGCAAGTTCTGCATTTCCTTTGGAAATCAAGGACCCAGAGTCTGGAGGAAGAGCGGAGAAGCACAGAATCCACGTTGCATGAGGTCCAGTGTAAAGTTTCCACCGTCAGTGATGGTGTGGGGTGCCATGTCATCTGCCGGTGTTGGCCCACTCTGTTTCCTGAGGTCCAGGGTCAATGCAGCCGTCTACCAGGAAGTTTTAGAGCACTTCATGCTTCCTGCTGCTGACCAACTTTATGGGGATGCAGACTTCACCTTTCAACAGGACTTGGCACCTGCACACAGTGCCAAAACCACCAGCACCTGGTTCAAGGACCATGGTATCCCTGTCCTTGATTGGCCAGCAAACTCGCCTGACCTTAACCCCATAGAAAATCTATGGGGTATTGTGAAGCGGAGGATGCAATACGCTAGACCCAACAATGCAGAGGAGCTGAAGACGACTATCAGAGCAACCTGGGCTCTCATAACACCTGAGCAGTGCCACAGACTGATCGAGTCCATGCCACGCCGCATTACTGCAGTTATTGAGGCAAAAGGAGCCCCGACTAAGTATTGAGTGCTATACATGCACATTCTTTTCATGTTCATTCTTTTCAGTTGGCCAACATTAGAGAAACAAACATTTTTTCATTGGCCTTTAGAATATTCTAATTTTCTGAGATACCAGATTTGATGTTTTCATTGGTTGTCACCTATAAATATCAAAATTAAACGTAATAAACATCGGAAATACATTGGTCTGTGTGCATTGCATGAATATAATGTACAAGTTTCACGTTTTGAATGGAATTACTGAAATATTTTCAACCTTTTGATGATATTCTAATTTACTGGCCAGCACCTGTATGAGTGAACTGTACAGAATAGGAACAGTACATACATCAATGTGTACCTGTTGCAATGCTTTGCTGGTTACATTGATTCTTCTCAGCAGTTCATCCCACAGCACTGTCATAACTGCAGTTTCAAGGGTTTCCATCACTGTTATTAATTGACTTGCCTCATATTGAGCAGCTCTGGGGGTTCCATGGTCAACTTTGATTTCATTCAAAGCATCCTGTATAGCTTTGTAGCCAAATCTCAGAGATTTTGTTGCATCAGCTCTTGCAGACCATCTTGTGCTGGAAAGGCTCTTCAGTGTCAGACCTTGCTCACATTTTGTCAGATGGGCTGTTAAAATCTCCCACCGCCGACTTGAAGCTGAGAAGAAGTTGTAGAGATTTTGAATGAAGCCAAAAAATGAAACAGCTTCAATGCAACATTCTGCAGCACATGCACCAACTAAATTAAGAGAATGTGCAGAACATGGTATGAAGTCAGCATTAGGATTTTTATTTTTTATTCTTGCTTGGAGACCAGAATATTTCCCTGCCATGTTACTCGCATTGTCGTAGCTCTGCCCACGACAGTCCATCAAATCAATGTCCAGTTCATTTAATTCAAATTTGAGTGTTTCCTCCATGTGTTCTGCAGTATGACCATGTAGAGGTATGAACTCCAAAAATCTCTCAACAGGCTCACCACTTTTCTTCAGGACATATCGAATTATCAGAGTAAGCTGATCAACATGTGTGATGTCAGGTGTTGAGTCCACAATGATGGAGAAATACTTGCCATCTTTTACTTCTTTTACAATGGCACGCAGAACTTTCTTAGCCATCAGCTGAATAAACTCATCACAAACTGTAGAGGACAGGTAACTGGTATGTCCCCTGCCCTTGTTTCCATATCTGGCTAGATGCTCTGACAGAAGCGGATCAAAGCGACTAATTAACTCCAAGCATCCCAAAAAGTTCCCATTGTGGGGTGATCCTATTAACTCATCATCTCCACGGAACGGCAGTCCTCTTGAAGAAAGAAACTGAATAGTTGCCACTATACGTTTCAAAATGTTGAGCCAGTATGCTCTCTCAGACTCCTGTTGCTGTACTATGTTTGAATCTATGCGTGCATTTTTATTTCCAAGTGATGATAGACTCAGCACAGCAGTACGATGATCCATACTATTCTCATGTTCATGCAAGCGATTAGCACAGTTTTTCCAGTCATTATATCCAGTGACAAATTGATTGTCTCTTACACTGAACAACTTGCAGCAGAAACAGAATACAGTTCCAGTAGACGGTGAGTACACTAACCATTTTCTTGACAGCGTTTCTCCATTTAGCTTTTTTCTAAAGAAATGTTCCTTAGTTAAGCATCGGTTTACGTCTCCGTATTTCCTCTGTGATGCAGAGAAATCTCCAATATTTTGGGAGGGATGGTTTAGGGCAAAGTACTCACGCATCCTGTCATCAATTTCGCACCATTTTGCAGGATCAGATGGGTAGGTTCTTCTTCTTAATACCCTTTCTGGGTCTGGAGGCTCCTGCTGTATGTTGGGCTCACTTCTGGCTGGCTGCTGTCCTTCCAGTTCTTTCTGCGACTGCGTTGATGTTGATGGCGCAACAACGTCTTCCGTCGCATTTCCCGCCGCATCTTCCACCTCGTCTTCGGGCCGTGTCTCCTCCGGCCCGGCCTCTGGCTCTGCTGACTCCAGAGGGTTCACAGCTGTCGGACGGCTGCCCGAGCAGCCCGACAGAAACTTCTTTAAAGCCCCCCGCTGTTTCTTCTTTTGTTCCTCTTCTCTTTTTTTCTTTTTACGTTTTGCTGCACCTGAAAGCATTGCGAAAGTTAACCTAAAACACCTGCTACTAGCTTAATCGTGTCCCGCTCGATGATCCCGCTCCACTCTGACCGCTTCCTTCTCTGACGTCCTTAATTGGGTGGCGCCCAAGTTATAGGCTACTGTGATAGGCTGGCGTTAATGTGATGTAGCTAATGTAACAGTCTATGGTTAAGATAAACATTGTCACTCTTTTTAGTTAATAAATATTGAAATAGATTGTAGAGAGGACGAGTCCTCTCTACAAATTCTATCACAGGACATTTGTACATTTTATTTTTGATTTATTTATTTTTTTATTTTGTCCCTCTGTCTGGGCCCCATCCAGCCAATCGGGCCCTAGGCACGTGCCTACTTTGCCTTTGCGTTAATCCGGGCATGGGGCCAGACCATTTAAGGCTTTAAAGACAAGTGTCAGTGCTTTGAACCTCACCCAAAAGTGAACTGGGAGCCAGCGCAATTGAGCCAGGACCGGAGTTAGGTGGTTTCATCGGTTAGAGTTTGTTGAAAACCTTGCAGCCGCATTCCACAGTCTATCGAGGGCTGAGGAAGGGACACCAATGAAGGTCAAATTTGCATAGTCCAGGCGTGATGTTTTGAAATCGTATATGACGGACTCCAAATGATGCCTCTTTACAGTTGGTTTATGGTGAGTTAGGCCACGCAGTTGAAAGAAGCATGTTTTAGTTGTTGCAATGATCTGGGGGCCAGTGAAAGGCCTGCATCCAATTTAACCCCAAGGCTGGTCACGCATTGCTGTGGAGTGATACCAAAAAATTCAGGGATGGAGGGCGATTGTGAGGGGTTATGTAGATCGAAAAGAACCACCTCTGTTATTGACTTTTAACTCATTCACTGCCAGCCGTTTCCTGATCGGTAAAGCCCTTCGCTGCCAGCGTTTCTCACCGTTTTTACTGTTTTTTTTTAAGAGTCAGAGAACGTTGCGTGCTAGGATGATGTTGACGCCAAAACAAAGCGGAGACTCACCTCTTACATCAGGAAGAATCAGCGTGTTTCGAGCGTTATCCGTTCTTTCATAATCCGTTGTCGAATTGTGATCGGCAGAAGCTTTTCCAGGTTCACACCTCACTTTGTTTTTACAGCAGTGGCCTAAAACGATCTCCTAACACATGGATGTTCTGCTTCCTGATCACGTGACGTGTGACGTACGCGGATGAAGATCGGCTTCTGAGCTGAGATGTTTGTTCTCATGGCACGGGGGCTCGCCCGACGCCCAAACAGTAAAAAAAAAAATGCAAATGACGACTTTAGTCGTCATTGGCAGTGAACGGTTGGATCTAATGGCAGTGAATGAGTTAATTACAGAAAATTAGCAGCTAACCAACTCTTCACTTTTGTAAGGCAGTTGTGAAGGAGTGGGACAGCATTGGGTGTGTTCATGGTCATATTGATTTGGCAATCATCAGTGTACGTATGATAGCTTAGGTTTAATTCATCCAGGATTCACCCCAAGGGGAGAATGTAAATGGAAAAAAGCAGTGGCCCAAGGGCAGAGCCCTGTGGCACACCCCAGGGGAGAGGGAGAAGTATAGCCACCAATGTTTACACGGAAGGACCTACCCCGAATATAGGAACAGAACCATTCCTAGAACACATCAAGTAAAGAATTATTGTCAATGTGGGTAGAGGTTTTGTTGTGGACTATTTTCTCAAGGGCCTTAGACAGAAAATGACCTTTTGAGATGGGGTGGAAATTGGCATAGTCAGATGGATTGAGCCCACGTTTTCTCAAAATCGCCTGGACAACTACTGCCCTGAAAGCTGTAGGAAACACTCCGGTCGTAAGACTAGTATTGGAAATATGGGTGAGGCTTGAGATTGGGAGGATATCACATACCAATTTCAGAGGGAGGCAGTCCTCTGGAGAATCAGCCAATTTCATTGATCTAATGAGAGTTTCAAGATCTTTGAGCGAGGCCGGATCAAAGTGTGATAAAGTTGGGGGGTCGAGTGGCACAGAAGGATTAGAGAGTCCAAGGGGTAGAAGAATATCCCCAATGCCTTGAACTTTGAGGAGAAAAAAGTTCTGAAATTCGATACACAGAGAAGTGGAAGGCGTGAGGATGGTTCCTAACGTTTTGGCTGGTTCTAGATGGTTAAACTGTTGTTCTTCTCAGGGTTGTGTCTCCGTCTCTACCCCCGGTCCCTGTATGAGGACGGGATGGAGGAGGCTCGTTGTCCCGGTGTGATGGAGGAGAACCTGAGCCACTTGGTTCTGCTGCTGAAGAGGCTGGACATTGCTGACATGGGACAGTGCAAGTTCTTGGACAGGCCAGGTACGAGCTACTTCCTGTGTCTTTAGGTTACTCTGACTGTCAGTGATGTCACAGAAACGTCACAATTATGAATGAATTTCCCCACCCACCCCCCACTCCACCTCACCCCCACCCCGTCCAGCCCCTGAGGCTCTGATGCAGGCCCTGGAGGACCTGGACTACCTGGCAGCACTGGATGATGATGGGAATCTGTCCGAAGTGGGAATCATCATGTCTGAGCTGCCGCTCGAGCCGCCACTGGCTAAGTCTCTGATCGCCGCATGCGAGTACGACTGTGTGGACGAGCTACTGACGGTAGCCGCCATGCTCACAGGTAGAGGATGAGGTGTTCACACGAACATCCACGTTAAAGACCAAGTTCACTGACACAAGGCTAAATGTGAAAATAGTCTTCTACCCCTAACTCCTGGATCACCCCCGATAGAAAATAGACGGGGAAGCGCGCGGGTCAGAAAAGCTCGACAGATCTACGTCTCACTGAAAACCAGCAGAGCATGTCTCAGCTAATGGAAGCTAACTGTTAGCATTAGCAACTCCACAACACAGCAGAGCAGGTTTGTGTTTTTGTGGAGATTAGAACCGCTTTTTTAAACGTGGGTTTTATTTAAGGTGAATGACAGCATTGGGAAGGCGGGGTCACATCACCCCCGTCCGAGCGTTATCAGAGGTGTTTGGGGTAAAAGCGTGTCTGGTAGCAGCAGAAGTTCTGGTCCAGTTGGACAACATGTCTAACAGGACGATCCTGTTTGTCTTTTCCGTCTCGTTTCAGCTCCTTCCTGCTTCGCCGCAGTAGAAGCCAGCAGAAAGGAGGCCGCCGTCGCTCTCTGGCGACCTGTGATGCACGACGCGGGCGATCACATGACCCTCATAAACGTTTATAATGCCTTCGTGGAGCGTAGGTACATCTCTGTCCTGACTGAGTGTTGCTGCTGAAGAAGCTAACGGATGTGTTTGTGACTGATTCCAGATAATCAGGATGAGGCGTGGTGCTCCGCCAACTTCCTGAGTCACGCTGCCTTACGCCTGGCAGTGGTCATCAGGGCGGAGCTTCTGGACGTGATGCAGAGGATAGAACTTCCAGTTTCGCCCCCGGCGTTTGGATCCCCCGACAACTGCACTAATATCAAACGTGCACTTCTCTCCGGCTTCTTCCTCAGAGTATGGCTCTTGTCTCCAGGTGAGCTGAAGGTCCAGCTGGTTCTGATCTCTCCAAACGTTTCCTCCTCAGGTGGCTCATGACGTTGATGGCTCCGGTAACTACCTCCTGCTAACCCACCGTCACGTGGCCCACCTCCACCCGTTCTCCTCCTACCTGTGTCTCCAGCCGAGCCCGAGCCCCCCCAGCTGGGTCCTGTACCACGAGTTTACCATCTCCAGTGATAACTGCATCTGCATCGCTTCTGAAGTCCACCCTCAGATGTGAGTCTGTCGCCGAGAACGCCGTACCTGAGACCATCAACTATTGGTGGATTCTTCTGTTTGTTTCTGTTGCTGTCCAGGATCAGGAAGTCCATATATGTTCATCTCATACCGAGTCACCAGCAGCACGGTTTTAAACTTTCCTGTAACCCCACAATTCCTGTTACATAACAGTTAAGCTGCTGTCCTCTGATTCTGACCAATCAGCCACATCTCAGCTGGTCCTTCTGATGGAGACACTTAAACAGCTTCTTTAAATGTTTACGTTCATCCCAGAATTCCTTCAGGATTAAAGATTAGCTTTTGGTTCTGTGAGAATCTGAGATCCTGGTGGAACCGGTTCCTCTGAGCTCCAGCTGCTGGAGACCAACCAGATGTCTCAAAACATGGTTCTCAGGTTCCTCCGAGTCTCACGTTCACTCTGTTGTGGGGTCAGGGTCACTGGAACCTGTCTGTCTCACTTTAGTGTCAGAAAGTGGAAATGTGTGCGACGACATGGGGAGTAAGTGTGTGTGTGTGTGTGTGTGTGTTTTTTTTAGGCTAGTGGAGTTGGCGCCTCAGTACTTCCTGGGGAACCTGCCGGCTAGCGATGGTAAGGAGCTGCTGATGGACCTCAGACAGAGTCTGGCGCCCCCTTCAGGTGATCTGGACTCCCAGGAGCACAACAAGACTCAGAAAGACTCATCAGAGACTCACAGCCAGCCCAGCACCGAGCTCTGTGCTGTCCAATGAGAAGGAGAAAGGGGCGGAGCTTCTCAGGTCTCTAAACAAACATTTGTCACTTTATCATTTGATCTGAGTGTTTTTATCTATTATGCAGTGAAATATTTTAGTTGTTTTGATGTTTTTTTGAACTTTTGCTGGGAAACTTTAAATCTGGAGTTTTAAAACGACTCCCGGCACACCCGAGGGAGACTCGCACTCCTGTTCTTTGTTTTTAATTTAAGACTTCCTTTTAGGCTCTTTACTTAATGAGTTTGTAATTGCTGTTTTTGTGACTAAGTCTTTTTAATAAAAACATGTGAAAGATGAAGGGAAAGCTGTAAAAGTTTCTGCTAAAAGCAACAAACGGCTCATCAGAGCTGACAAATTCAGCTACTCTATGCAGATGACATGCTGCTTTACTGTGATCCTCTGGACTGCTCGCTGTTTGCGCTGCCCTCTCCTTTTTTATTACGGAATAAAATGAGATTCGAATATAAATGTTAATGTTTGAGTGATTATTACTTCATAAACAACCTCTGAGCCGGTGTCCTGCAGGGTTTAGGTGTTTCTGTTCCAACAGCAGAGCAGGATGCAGCCGCCTCACGAGGGAGTTGGCATGGAAACTTGAGCACTCCCTGTTTGCTGCAGGGAGACGGTGACTTTTGGTTTACTTTACCTAACTCGCTCAAACGGGTCAGTACCGGACCTCTGCAGAACTTTATGGGTCAGTAGGTTATTTAAAGCGAGTGAGTTGGAGCAGAAAGAAAGAAAACGATCTTTAAAATAGCGTCTCAAGATAAAAATCACGAGGCGCATCACCAAAACAAAAAAATTTAAATATAATTTTTTCTTTTAAAAAATGTTTAAAAAAATAAAATAAATAACAGTGATTAAAATTTTAAGGGAAAGGAGGAATAAGAGCAGAATAAGGAGAGGGAAGTGATGAAGGTCCCACCAGAGCCTGAACAGGTGAGTTTAAAGGAGACCACTGAGTCCACTGATCTCAGGCTCAGGGGGACAGAGGTCCAGAGTCTGGGGGCCACAGCAGCAGATGATCTGTCACCTTTGGTGCAGCAGAGAAACTTCTAACATCTGCAGGGTGGTTGACTCTAAAGACCAGGACCCGACTGAACCCTTAGACTTTGTGGTTTCTGTTTTCTCTTCGTAATCATCAAGTCTTCATGGTAGATGTTCTTTGGGAAGGAACCAAAGGTTCCATCGAACCTTGTGTATAAATATAACGTGTATTTGAAACAAGCCGGAGAACTGAAGATGTTTGTAGCTTTGGAAGTCTGTAGAACTTGTGATCCAGAACTCCCTCACTGGGAGAAGATCAGAACTGGATCAGAAGTTCTGGGTTGTTCTATTTGAACCAAAATGATTAATCTTGAAGATATTAATAAAGTCCATCTTTGTTGGAGATAATGTACAGTTTTATTTCTTCTCATGACTAAGACTCAGACCAGGACCTGGTCTAGATCTGGTCTGGTCTCATATCAAGACCTCTGGTTCCTTTACTGTTTGCGAAGAAACTCTTTAACGTTTTCTTCAGCAGAGCTGCTGCTGGTGGTCATCTGCAGCTTCTTCTCAGCAGCTTTCATGTTGAGGTCATTCTCCTTAAACATCTTCAGCTCCATCTCGGTCTGTGTCCTCATTGACTGAAAAAAATGGAGGGAGATCATCGTTAGTGATCCGGTTCTGAGAGCATTGTCATCCATTTGTACCATGGTACCTCTAGGTCTTTGGTGATGGAGTGGTTGGGTCCATGGGTGATCATCAAGATTCTGTAAGCCTCACAGATCATCTTGTGGCCCTCCTCGATCTGACCTGCATGCCAGTAGGTGACACCTGCCCTCATCAAGGCCATGCCCAGCTGGGTGTTGTTAGGGTGGTACAGCTTCCTGTCAGAGGGGGGAGGAGGGGTCTGTTACATGAAGGTCCACTTTATCATCCATTCATCCTCTTCCACTTATCCAAGGTCATGTCGCGGGGGCAGTAGCCTAAGCAGAGAGGCCCAGACTTCCGTCTCACCAGCCACTTGGGCCAACTCCTCCGGGGAATCCCAAGGCGTTCCCTGGCCAGATGAGAGACATAGTCCCTCCACCGGGTCCTGGGTCTACCTTTAGGTCTCCTCTGGGTTGGACGTGCCTGGAAAACCTCACCAGGGAGGCGTCCAGGAGGCATCCTGACCAGATGCCCGAGCCGCCTCAACTGGCTCCTCTCGATGTGGAGGAGCAGCGGGTCTACTGCGAGCCCCTCCCGGATGGCCGAGCTTCTCACCCTATCTCTAAGGGAGAGCCCAGCCACTCTTCGGAGAAAGTTCATTTTGGCCGCTTGTATCCGCGATCTCGTTCTTTCGGTCACTACCCAAAGCTCGTGACCATAGGTGAGGGTAGGAACGTAGATCCACCGGTAAATTGAGAGCATCGCCTTCTGACTCAGCTCTCTCTTCACCACGACAGACCGGTACAATGCCCGCATCACTGCAGACGCAGCACCAATCCGCCTATCGATCTCACGCTCCAGTTTTCCCTCACTTGTGAACAAGAACCCGAGATACTTAAATTCCTCCACTTGGGGCAGGACCTCATCCCTGACCCGGAGAAGGCATTCTACCCTTTTCCGAATCAAGACCACGGTCTCAGATTTAGAGGAGCTGATTCTCATCCCAGCTGCTTCACACTCGGCTGCAAACCGCTCCAGTGAAATCTGGAGAACACGTTCTGATGAAGCCAACAGGACCACATCATCTGCAAAAAGCAGGGACCTGATCCTCAGGCCACCAAAACAGATCTCCTCCACACCTTGGCTGCACCTAGAAATTCTGTCCACAAAGGTTATGAACAGAATCGGTGACAAAGGGCAGCCTTGGCGGAGTCCAACTCTTTATCACCCAGTGAACCAGAAATAGAGTTTATCATTTATTTCAACTTAGAATTTAAAGACGTCAGCTGGAAATAATCAGAAATCTCTTTCATGTCCTGCTGTGAAACACTGCTCCATCATGTTGCTGCCACCACTGTGCTGCACAGTGGAATTCATCATTGTCCTCATGAAAAGTTTCACCTCCTGATCTCTGCAGAAAACTTCCTGATGAATTTCAGTTGGGATGATCTCCAGATGAGGGTTAGGACTAGGATAAGCTCCAAACACCTTTTGATGTTCGGCACAATGTCTGAAAGTTCTGTGAAGCGATCAGGATGGACACATTTTGTAAATGGCTCATAACAGGTTATCATTTCTCACATTGGGGCTACAGTGGCTCAGGGGTTAGCAGTTCCCCGTGCAATCAGTGGGCTGCAGGTTTGAATCCTGGCCCTGTGAGTCATAACATTGGGCAAGACACACCACCCTCTTTACCTGCTGGTTGTGGATGGAGGGAGCGCTGGAACAGCTGTGGCTTCAATGGAGTCCTCTGACTCGGAAAGATGCTTTAAAAGTACAGGTAACTTATCATTTATTATCGTGAAAATGCAACCTGGGTCACTGAGTACTGGTCAGAATACTTTAACGATGGTTAGAAGTGTTTGGAGCTTTTTGAAACTCACTCATCAGCCTCCAAAAGATCTCTCTGATCAGTCTCAACTCTTCGGAGTTGCACCAAACAGCCTTTATGCTGCACCCACGGGTGCAGCCACTCATGATCATGACACGTTACACAAAGCTAGATCAATGGTGACAGAGGGGCGTGGGCATGGACATCCGAAGCTGTCAATCAGCTGGTCGCACTGGCACAGCAAAAATTGTTTGTCAGATGGGTGCATGGTTTCTCTCATTGGAGGAAATGTAACAGGTTTACTAATGCTTAATAATGCCATAAGTAATGTTAATAAAGGGACCCTTGTAGCCACAGCTGCTCCAGCAGTCCCACACATTGTTTGATCCTAAACTCAAGGAGAACACGCCAACTCCACACATGCATGAGGAGAACACGCTAACTCCACACATGCATGAGGAGAACACGCTAACTCCACACATGCATGAGGAGAACACGCCAACTCCACACATGCATGAGGAGACGACACTAACTCCACACATGCATGAGGAGAACACGCTAACTCCACACATGCATGAGAACATGCTAACTCCACACATGCATGAGAAGAACATGCTAACTCCACACATGCATGAGGAGAACACGCCAACTCCACACATGCATGAGGAGACGACACTAACTCCACACATGCATGAGGAGAACACTCTAACTCCACACATGCATGAGAACATGCTAACTCCACACATGCATGAGAAGAACACGCTAACTCCACACATGCATGAGGAGAACACGCCAACTCCACACATGCATGAGAACATGCTAACTCCACACATGCATAAGGAGACGACACTAACTCCACACATGCATGAGGAGAACACGCTAACTCCACACATGCATGAGAACATGCTAACTCCACACATGCATGAGAAGAACACACTAACTCCACACATGCATGAGGAGAACACGACAACTCCACACATGAATGAGAACATGCTAACTCCACACATGCATGAGAAGAACACGCTAACTCCACACATGCATGAGGAGAACACACCAACTCCACACATGCATAAGGAGACGACACTAACTCCACACATGCATGAGGAGAACACGCCAACTCCACACATGCATGAGAACACGCTAACTCCACACATGCATGAGAACACGCTAACTCCACACATGCATGAGGAGAACACGCTAACTCCACACATGCATGAGGAGAACAGGCTAACTCCACACATGCATGAGAACACGCTAACTCCACACATGCATGAGAACACGCTAACTCCACACATGCATGAGGAGAACACGCTAACTCCACACATGCATGAGGAGAACATGCTAACTCCACACATGCATGAGGAGAACATGCTAACTCCACACATGCAGAACATGCTAACTCCACACATGCATTAGGAGAACGTTCTAACTTCACAGGCATTTAAACCAGCAACCTTCACGCTGCAAGGCAGCAGAACCACCATGCATCCTGTTCATGAGCTTGTTAGATTATATATTATTTATAGATATAATTTCCTGGTTCTAGGCAATCAGAACTGGCACCAATCACCTATAAAATCCTGGATAAACAAACAATCTGCTGAAGTTGGTTGTCCAACACCAGAACCATGCCTTTTACGATGGATCACTCACATGTACCCTTCCACCATCTTCTGGGCCAACTCTGCAGCCTCAGAAAACTTCTTGAGATGAGAGAGCACCTGAGACGCCACACTGAGCACACGGAGTCTGGACAGATGAGTGTTGGCCACAACCCCCTCCTGCTTCTCCAAACATTCCTGACACAGCTTCAGCACCTGCAGCCCAACAGGAGGATTTCAGAGGAAGGAGAACTAGAGAGAACCTACAGCAGAACATCACGGTTACCTCACTGTGATCTCCAGCATCACGAGCCTTTTCTATCTTCTCCAGACTCTCCTTACTGAAGGCTGTGACCTCTTTGACCTTCTCAGCAGGAGGCTGAGGGTCAAACACACATACAGCTGTTTAGGGACTAGAGTTTAGATGATCTGGTGGAAACCAGAACCGGTTTCCTGACTGACTTTAGTCTCTGCTGCTGCTGACATCAGGTCATCGCTGACGCTCCTGCTGCAGCGCTCACAGCTGCAGTCGAAGTAAAAACGCTCCTTCAGCTGCTTCTGCCGATCAGCTGATAGATTCAAGAAGTCCACATAGCTGATGGTCACCTCCTCGCCCTCTGGGATGGTTCTCAGAGCTCGGAGCTCCATCCTGGAGAAAGAAGGTCAGCTGGATGAGAGGAATCCACCTCTGCTTCTGACTCAGATTCAGCTAACTTCTCCTTTGGGTCTGGGTCTAAGTCCAGGTCTGGGTCCAGGTCCAGGTCCAGGTCAGGATCAGGGTCTGGATATGGGTCCGGGTTTGGTTCTGGGTCTGGGTCCAAGCCTGGATCTGGGTTCAGGTCTGAGTCTAGTTCTGGGTCTAGATCTGAGTCTGGATCTGGGTCTGGATCTGGGATTGTATCAGGATCTGCGTCTGGATCTGGATCTAGGTCTAGGTCCTGGTCTGGGTTTGGATCTGGGTTTTTATTATGGTTCCACCATCCCAGCTTGCCACCCCTCTCTCCACAAGCACCTAGGACTCCACTTCCCAGCATTCCCTCTCTGGTTCACGTCATCCACCAAAGACTATATACGGAAGCACGTCTACACAACTCGGCACTCAGTCATTGTTTATCCTAACTTGATACCATCATGACTATCAATGACCAGTTTTCCAAGGCCCTGCACCTGCTGGCCCTTGGCGGCCTCCCCATTCCCAAGCAGACGGCTGAGATTCTCCTCCAGAACTTGGTTGGACTTCACGGCTTGCCCCAGGACGTGGTCTCTGACCTGGGACCTCAGTTCGCCTCAAGATTCTGGAAAGCTTACTGTCGCCTAGTTGGAGCCACTTCCAGCCTTTCCTCCGGGTACCATCCCCAGACTAATGGCCAGACAGAACAGGTGAACCAGCAGCTCAGCCGATACTTAAGATGCTTCGTCTCCTCACGACTAACCACCTGGCTGGACTACCTTCTGCGGGCGGAGATGTCCCACAATCTTCATATTTCACCCTTCGAGGCCTGTAATGGCTACCAGCCACCTCTGTTCGGTCACCAGGTGCCGGACGTAGAGGTCCCCGCTGCCCAGGCTCTAGTGCGCAGCTGCCACCTTGCTTGGATCCAGGCCCGTGCGGTGATTTCCTGGGCTAATGCTGGTTCACCCGACAACACCGATGCCGCCACCGCCCGGGTCCTTCCTTTCAAGTGGGTGATCAGGTGTGGTTCTCCTCCGCCAATCTACAGCTGCCTGCGGAGTCACGCAAGCTCGCCTCGCTACCTGTGTCCCTTCTCAATGCAGAGGGTCATCAACCTGGTGACCTACTGTCTTCTCCTGCGTTCACCTCTCCGGATTCACCCGGTCTTCCACGTTTTCCAGCTTAAGACTGTCGTGTCCTCTCCTCTAGCTCCTTCCCCTTCCCCGGTGCCACCGCCCGGATATGTGGATGGGGAGCGGGTGTACACTGTGCGCCGCGTCCTGGACGCTCACTGCTGTGCTGTGGCTGGCAGTACCTCGTCGATTGGGCGGGTTACGGCCCAAAGGGAGGCTAATGGGAGCCCACACGGTCTATCCTGGATCCATGCCTTCTCTCTGACTTCTGGTCTTGGGGCCGTCCTGCCACGGTTCCATCATCCCAGCTTGCCACCACTCTATCCACAACCACCTAGGACTCCACTTCCCAGCATCCCCTCTCTGGCGCATCCGTTCACATCATCCACCAGAGACTGAAGCGCCTCTACACAACTCGGCACTCAGTCATCATTTATCTCGAACCTTCATCAGAGTTTCTCAGGCTTCCCAGCCAACCAGCCAACCTACCTACACTGTCTACAAATATTAAGTCAGCCTTTTTCCTTTTACGGAACCGTAGCCCGGCCTCGTTTCTTCTCGAGACTCGCGCTGCCGTTTCCAGATCAAACGGCGTGCTCTGTCCAATCCAGCGTCAGTCACTCAGCAGTTGGGTCATACAACCACGCTACATTCAAACTCCCAACAGTCTGGGTCTGGATCTGGGTCTGGGTTCGGTTTCAGTTCTGGGTTCAGCTCTGAATCTGGTTCCGGGTTAGGGTCTACTCACCTCTTCCTAGAATGGAGAGCTGAACTCACAGCTGATTGGCTGTGAAGAACAAACATTTAAAAATTAGATTTTTTTTAAATACATTTTTTTTCTAACCATAAACAAACAAACAAATTTTTTTTAATTCTGTTTGATTTAAAAAAATAAAAGAAAGAAAAATATTTGAAATTAAAGCAAAAGGTTTCTGAGTCCAAACATTTGGCGCATGAATGTTTTTCCTTTCATGACAAAACCAATGGCATTCCGGATCGCCTGGATGCTTCCCGCCTTTGGAGCGGATGGATGCTGGACCTACTTCCCGTGGTTGAAGGTGACGGTGCAGCTGGGCCAGCAGTCATGGTTCACCAGACCCAGACTGGGGAAGATCCCCAGACCGACATCCTGCAGACCTCTCTGGTCCTTCAGAGGGAAGCTATTGTTTCTGATCTGCAGAGACAGAAGAATGATAAGGAACCAAGACCGGAACAGCTTTGGTCCCAGCAGTTCAGGAAACATCAAATCAACACCAACCAGTCCCAAGATGTGAGACAGGAACTCAGTGGAGTTCTGCTGTGTTGTACCGGACCAGAATTTCAGCAGGGAGACCACGTCCTCGTGGACTTTTTTCAGTTCTCCTTCAGGCAAAAGGTCCAGATGGTGCTCCAGGAAGTCTACTGCTACTAGCTGGTTGTCTGAAGCCAGACCTTGGTCTTTCCTTCTGCGCCACAGAACACGGGCTGCCAAGCTGCAAAAAGGAAACCAAGTCAGCAGAAGCAGAGTTTGGGTCAGTAGAACCAAGGAGTCTGATTAGGGCTCTAGTCTAGACAAGAAAAACATCTAGTGGCACATTTACACTTTGATCAGCTCGTCCTGGGCCAGGTGGGGACAGCTCGCTCCTGAATGGTCAGGTTGTTTTGTTGTCTCAGACAGCCTTCCATATTTACACAGCCTTCTCACAAAGGAGGACATGAGCGAGCTTCACTGAAGAGGCGCAGAGAAGTCCCTGGTGCCCTTCCTAAGGGCCACAAGTTAGTAAATGCGTGGGTGAGCCGTGTTGCGTTAGGAGACTCTTACATGAAGCACACAGCTTCCTACTCTCTCACTGAGCCGTGGAAATGCACAGAAAACACACGGGAAACACACGGACAACACAGAAAGCACACAGGAAACACAAGGACAACACAGAAAGCACACAGGAAACACACAGGAAACACAGAAAACACACGGAAAACACACAAACAACACAGAAGACACACAGGAAACACACGGACAACACAGAAAGCACACAGGAAACACGAGGACAACACAGAAAGCACACGGGAAACACACGGACAACACAGAAAACACACAGGAAACACAGAAAACACACGGGAAACACACAAACAACACAGAAAGCACACGGGAAACACATGGACAACACAGAAAACACAGGAAACACATGGGAAACACACGGACAACACAGAAAACACACGGACAATACAGAAAACACATGGGAAACATACGGACAATACAGAAAACACACGGGAAACACATGGACAATACAGAAAACACAAGGCAAACACACGGACAACACAGAAAACACAGGAAACCCATGGGAAACACACGAACAACACAGAAAACACACGGGAAACATACGGACAATACAGAAAACACACAGAAAACACACGGGAAACACACGGACAATACAGAAAACACACGGGAAACACATGGACAATACAGAAAACACACGGGAAACACATGGACAATACAGAAAACACACGGGAAACACATGGACAATACAGAAAACACACGGGAAACACATGGACAATACAGAAAACACACGGGAAACACATGGACAATACAGAAAACACAAGGCAAACACACGGACAACACAGAAAACACAGGAAACCCATGGGAAACACACGAACAACAAAGAAAACACACGGACAACTCAGAAAACACACGGGAAACATACGGACAATACAGAAAACACACAGAAAACACACGGGAAACACACGGACAATACAGAAAACACACAGAAAACACATGGGAAATACACGAACAACACAGAGAACACACGGACAACACAGAATACACACGGGAAACATACAGACAATGCAGAAAACACACAGAAAACACACGGGAAACACACGGACAATACAGAAAACACACAGAAAACACACGGGAAACACACGGACAATACAGAAAACACACAGAAAACACATGGGAAACACACGAACAACACAGAAAACACACGGACAACACAGAAAACACACGGGAAACACACGGACAATACGGAAAACACACGGGAAACACACGGACAACACAGAAAACAAGCAGGAAACACACGGACAATACAGAAAACACGCAGGAAGCACTCGGACAATACAGAAAACACACGGGAAACACACGGACAATACAGAAAACACGCAGGAAGCATGCAGACAACACAGAAAACATACGGGAAACACATGGACAACACAGAAAACACACAGACAACACAGGAAACACAGAAAACACACGGACAGCACAGAAAACACACGGGAAACACGGACAACGCATGGAAAGCTCCAATGTAAATACAGTGAATGACCCTACTAGGGCCAGACCAAGCTGATCGTAGTGTAAATATGTTTTCAATGAATCTTGATCAAACTGCAGCTTTTGATTTTAGTGATCCTGGTTCCGTCACACCCAGATCCAGACTCCAGTCATGGAAATGCTGCAATGATTTTCTGAGGAACCTTCAGTCTACCCCGATGGTCTGCCCCCAATCTTAGCGCCCCATGGTGGTGCTTGAAGGCCAGGGCCACGCCTTTTCTTACCGTATCTTCTCGTTGGGAACGAAGCCAGAACTCCTGATGGCAGCACACTCCTGCTTGTGCTCCTCCCAGCATGCAGTTTGGCAAGTCCTGTCACAGTAGTGGGCAAACCTGCACTGAGCACAGCGATGGAGATTGGTCTGGTGCCGGAAACAGCCATGGCACACCTGGGAGACCAAACTGAGAAGACAGAACAGGTTTCTCTGATAAGCAGGTTCTGTTCTAGGCTCAGGTTACAGAGACACAAACTACAGAACCAGATCTTGTCCCATTTGTTTGAAACCTTTTAAATTCTTCTGTTTATTTTTCCTTGGATGGTCAGTCCTGGTTCCCAGCCCACCTGCAGCCTGTTGGGAATCACCTGTTGCATTCTTTATGCTTCCGGACAAACACCATCGGCGCTTTGTTTATCCGTTTTGGGCATGTGAAAGCGCTTTATAAATAAAGTTGATTTGATTTGATTCCTGCTATTCCCACGGCCCTGGAGCCTCACTCATCAACCGAACAATAAAAGTGGTTCCACATAACATTGGATCTGATCAATGGTAGAGTAACGGGTTGTCATTTAGATGCTACATTTAAGGAGTTGTTCTGTTCGGAGTTAGTTTCATCTGAAGATGTTGTCTGAGAGTGCAGCCTCTTCTGAGCTGTCATTCAGACAGGTTACCTTGGCAACATGTAGCTGATTAGGGAGCAGAGTAGGTTCTGGGGGGTTGCCAGAGATGTAAAATGGAACATGAACTGGAATCGGATTTGTGCGATTTGTCCGTCGCGCGGATCCCAAATCCCAGCATAGCTCCAGAAGGATCTTCTTCAGTAATCAGATCAGAACACTCACAGAGGAGGTGTTCCCACCAGAAAACACACTCTGCCAAATCCTCCAATAACAGACCAGCCATGATACAATGTCTGATTGCCGTTGGTCACGTGTGTCTTTTATAGGTTTTAGCACCAATTATGTGACTCGGCTAATTTTCCACATAAATATTTATTTACTGGGTAAAATAATGAGTGGATGAGGAACATGTGTGGATGACTGAGACCTTCGGTGTAGCGGCTCCCCGTTCTACCACTAGATGCTGTTCCTACACGTGTCTGAAGTTCTCTGATGTTTAGGAACGTTTCCACACACAGGTACATGATGGACACCACACAGTGTGTACATTAGTTCCTACACGCCACACACACACACATCTGTTCGTTAGTACAGTTGATACATGAGGCCCCTGAGGTCCACCATACTGCAGATATAAGTTTCTTTTCTTAAACACACCTGATTCAGAGGCTCAGGTGTTCTCAGACAACTTACCTTGGGATGTGGTTGGCACTAAATACACCATGAAAGGATTATTATTGTGTGCTTTTCAGTAACCATCTTTGCTGTTATGTACTGCCCAGCCCAAACATCTGCCAACAGAGTAAAGGTCACATTGTAATATTTTGTTGGACCGCATTTAGCTTTGACTCATGTTCACTGTGGCATTGATTCAATGAGCTTCTACAAAGTCGCCTGATTTATCTCCATCCAGTGTTGCACTAATGTTTCACCAAGATCTTGCATTGATGATGGTAGTCAGACCGCTGCACATCCCAAAGATTCCCAGTAGGGTTAAGGTCTGGACTATGTGGTGGTCAATCGATCGATGTGTGAAAATGATGTCTCACGCTCCCTCAACCACTCTTTCACTATTGGAGCCTGATGGATCCTGGCATTGTCATCTTGGAATGTGGCCGTGCCATCAGGGAAGATGGAATACACTCAGTATATTCAGATAGTCAGCTGACCTCATTCTTGAAGCACATCCTGTTGCTGAACCTAGACCTGACCAACCAGCCTTTGTCAGATGACGTATCAGGTGCTGCAGCACGTTGCATGATGGGATAGCTAGGTGTATAAACAATGGAAGCATCAAAATGACAACAGACCTAACCTCTGATGTAGGTGTGGTTTCTGTAGCTGCTTGTAACTTATATTAATAATTACGTGTTTAATTAAGGCTCATCCAGACATGAAACCTGGAGCAGCTCCTGTTAGTGGAGTCATGCTTCTGGACGGAGGACCTTGAAGTAGTACTACGCTTACTCAGGTGACGAATTTTCAGCAGTAATGAAACATCTAAGCTCCGTTTGTTTCCTTTGAGGTCGTAGAGATCTACGATGTCGACTGTAGACCATTTATGAAGACACCAATCTCTAATCTCCTTCAGAAGTTTATTCCTGTAGGGATGTTTTCATCCTTGTTCTTTTTATCCATCCATTTGACTCTTCTTCTGCTTCCTCTTCAGCTGCAGCTTCCCCTAGCAACGCGAGTCATACACCCAAAATGGCGGTTAGAGGGTGTTTGTAACATGAAGGTCACATGCAAAGACCGAATGCAGCAAGCCCAGATCATCGCACTGCCTCCACAGGCTTGTACAGCAGGCACTAGGCATGATGGGTGCATCACTTCATCTGCCTCTCCTTACCCTGATGCACCATCACTCTGGAACATTTCTGGCACATTCGGAACCTCATATGGAACAGGGTCCATCTTTACTCATCAGTTTTTTACGTTGGACAGTTCTGAACCCAGTTTTAGTGTTTCCTGCATCTCCTCAGATGTTTTCTCTGCTTGGTGCATGCCGATGGTCTGACCCTTCTCGCACAGACCAATACGACCACCAGATGTGTCTTTTCACATGGTTGTTTAAGAAAACAGATGCAGCTCATTGCACCAGTTGGGTTAAATACATTATTGCAGCTGAAAGATAACTGCCCGTGCAGTAATTATGCAATAGGAGGCTCCTACCTGTTTGCCAGGTGGAGACTATTTTTGGGCCCGGCCATGTACATCCCTTGATTGTTTGGCACTGTGATATCTCGGTTCTGTAGTATTTTTGTGCCCCTTTCTTCTCCCTCCGTTGTCTTTTATTTCCATTGGATCAAAAATAATCAATAGAAATTCTAATAAAGTTTTAAATCCGGTGGGGCTTTAGTTTATGATGAGGCACCTGGAGTGCAGCTGGTCCTAGATCAGGTTACCTTCATTAATCTGATTCCTGACTCTCTGAAGAACAGCAACTCTGCACCCTGAGCGGTGCCAAACTGGACTACGGTCAAGTTCAGGTTACATTCTGACAGCCTTCCTGTTGCGGTCATGAGAACGCAGGACTGTAGCGAACAGTGGTCCACAGAGTCCGCAAAATCTGGAGAAAACAGCAAGCTGTGCTCAAACTGGTCCATGACCTAGAACCATGAGACATTTACCTGTCAAAGACAACAGCAGCATAACTGGGTTCAGAGAAGATCACCTCCCCAGTGTGGAGCTCCTTGGTGGCCTTCAGGCCTCGACCTTTCACCCCAGCATCAAACACCTCCAGGTTCCCTCCAGTCATGGTTCTGATCTGACAAACCTCCAGGAGACGGGGCAGGAATCAGCTGAAGGTGAAACAGACTGAGAAGGTCTGACTTTTTCATCTGACCCCCCCCCCCCCCCACCCACCCCAACCCCCCCAATCAAAATAAGCCACACCCTCTTCAACAGCAGATCGGGGGGAGGGGGTGCTTTGGTAAGAAGCCTCAGGGTCCTGGTGGGAGTCTGCCCCTTGTTTGGGTTGGTTCCACCCCTCCGCATGTTATTTTGGTCCCAAGGAGCTGTTGGTGTCAATCAGAGATTTGACAAGAACCAGGTTTCTGGAGTCCAGCAGAAGTTCTGTTTAACAACGCCACAATCAGTAAATGTGAGATTTTTATTATTTGTTCTGCCACGTTCATACAGCACAAAGCAGAAAGCTCTCCCTGTTCAACACATTTATAAAAAATACCTACATTAATGCTGAGGAAAAGGTTAAGGGAATAAAATCGGAGTTTGGCAGTGACATATGGCAACAATTATCACATTTAAGTCAAAGCTTAAAGCACATTAGTAAGGCACATTAATAAGATACAGACTAAAGACAAAACACAGACCGGTGGCGTCTGTTTGGCAGGCCTTGCCTGTGTCAGTGAGCCCCAGGGCAGCTGTGGCTACATCGTAGCTCATCAGCATGTGAATGACTGTGTTGTGAAGCGCTTTGGGGGGTTGTAGAACCCTAAGAAGGCACTATAAAAATATTCAATTTAGAAAATCACTACTTAAAATTTCATAAGCTCAAATATCTTTAATGGTACCGTTTCTGAGAGCCGACTGAAGCTCTGGAGCAGAGGTCACCAAATCTGGTCCTCGAGGGCTAGCATCCTGCATGTTAGCTGTTTCTTTGCTACTGCACACCTGATTAAAACAAATGAGTAAGTAACAGGCCTGGGTAGAGTTAAAGTGGTAAGGAGATGATTAAATCACTTCATTCAGGTGTGGTAGAGCAGGAAACACAGAGAATTAGCAGGATGGTGGCCCTCGAGGACCAGAGTTGGGTCTGAAGCTAATGCTAATGTTCAGGTCAAACTGGGAAGAGGCTAGCTGGTATCAACAATAAACTCTGACTCTTTGTCTATGGTTTTACAACACTATTAAACAGAAACAGCAACAGGCTAACAATAAAAGCTAGTCAATAGCACGGTGATGTCCCGTCAAACAACCGCATTACTAGCTTAAACACGCTAATCATTAACCAACCACATGTATGTTTAGCGAAGCCAGTACTTTTGTGTTGGACCAACAATCTTATTTCCCTTTACTGCACCGCACCTTGAGAGGACCAGTTCTCCTCGGTCAACAAAGATCAGGTCCTTCCACAACCACTAAGGTCAGAAGTGAGCGGCTAATAAATTGGACAGTCTTTCCTTTTACCCCTACTTCAGCATAAATCCAGTCACTAAAGAACGGTCATTGAAATTCGGGGGAAATGAGGACGCATCTTCTTTATATTCAGATTGCCTTGTCCCTTAGCTGTGATGCAGTCCGACTTAAAATGCAGCCTTGGGAGGATCTTTGGACCCTGAAGTTCCACTGGTCTGATGTTCGGACCCTGATGTTCCACTGTTCTGATCTTCGGACCCTGATGTTCTGACCTTCGGACCCTGAAGTTCCACTGAAGCAGCTGTGACCAGCTCACTCATGTCTGAGATCATTCCTATAGCTTTTCTAAACAAACATCTGTTTCATATCATCACATCAGATCAACATAAACAAGCTGCTTCATGTTTTAGAGGACTCAACATGTGGCAGCGGGATTCAAACCCACAACTGAGGACGAACATTTATGTTCTATAGATCCTACAAACCAAAGAAAATTCCAGGGACTCATTTATCAACCGTTCGTAGAAACTGTCCTATATTCCTTCTTACGAATGGAATCTAGAATAATCGTACAAACCGTCAAATCCTGGTTTACCAAACATGCGGTGGCTTCTCGTACGCACGATCCTCCACAACTTAACCGACGATAAATCCCACCTGACCATACCCAAGCGCTCGTGTCCGTTCAATCATTTACATACAGAGACGCCCTCAATTAACCATATCTGGTCACATCACATCCTCTAAAGCTCATGAGGAATCCCTGCCTTCTTCCTGGGAAAGAAGAATCACCAGCGACAGCGAGACCGAGGCTCTGTCTGCCGAAGCAGAACTTCTCTCAGCTCAGGAGAAACCAGGAAAAGACGGAACGCTGCCTGGGAGAAAGTGGCAGGCGTGGTAAACGTGGTCGTGACAGAGGAGAGGTTCCTGTCAGAGATAAATAAAAAAAACGGTTCCACGTGAAGCCGAATCTGAAAAACCGTAACGTAACCGAACGTTCTGTTGTCATTTACAGTTTACATGTTCTGCCTGGAGTTGGTTTTGTTCTGGTTTGACTGTCTGATTGCAGAGTTATCAGTCAGTTTGGTTACCTTGGCAACGTCTGGATGTTCGGGGAGCCGAGTGGAGGAGACGTAGCTCCAGAGGGACCTCCTTCTGGAAGCGGTACCTGCACATGAGCCACTGTGGATTCTCACCCACAGATCAGATCGCTCACAGAGGACCCGCTCCTTCCAGAGAGCTCGCTCTGCCAGGTCCTCAACAGCAGATCAGCCACGCTACCCGTCAGGTTCCCGTGGGTCACAGGTGTCCTTCTAGGTTCTGACAGCCGTAAGGGACAGCTGATGAAGCCATTTCCACACAGACATCATTACTGGCTGGGTCAAATAATTAGATGGCTGAGACCTTCAGTGTTGCAGTGCCCCATTCTACCACTAGATGCTGCTCCTACGCATGGCCAGAGCTGTTCTGATGTTCAGGAACATTTCTACACACCGGTACAAGATGGTAAATACCACACCTGTTGTAAAATCGTTGCTACGCACCACACGGGCTCAGATCTGTGTGCAAGTACGGTTGATGAATGAAGGCCTTGGACTCTAGAAAATACGCTGAAGTTCTGAAAGTGAATCCGACGCAACAGAAAACCTAAAAAACACGATTAAAACTTTTCGATTCCAGTTAAAAAGAAGAATGCGGGTTCTGGAGAAGGTGGGTTCTGCTTTTACACATCAAAGACATCAATGTGGGTTCCTGACGTGAAGGTGTCCTCCAGCAGAATCTTCATCAGTTTAGAGCAGGACGCCTCACAGGTGAGCAGCTGACCTCCAGAGAACATGTCGGAGAACGTCTTCTTCATGTGCGGGTCGGCCGTTTTGGACCGGGCCTCCACCTGCATGTTGGTGTCCAGAGGTCCTGGAACAAGAAACAAATAAAAACAATTCGTTTAGAAAACTAAAATGACGGAGCTGACTGCTGGAGATCTCCACGACCATCGAGGGTGTGGCGGTGCACGGATTCGTGGCACAGAGACAAACCCCGGCCAGGTCCCACACTGACATCCTTTAGCCAGGAACGCAAGACCGGCAAGGCCAAAGGTGAAACCGGGGTCTTACCTTAGCGCATGTCCTGTTGCCTAGCAACCGTGACAACGCTGAACAGAAGTTTCAGCCAAACTTGGCAGCATACGAGCTACCTCTGTTCCTGGTGAGACCAGAGATGTCTTAACCACCAACAGAGGAGTCCTTTCAGGAGACGATGTGGACAAATAAATATAAACACGGAGGTTGGATGCATCTAAACCCGGAACGCTTCATGATGCACTTGAGGAAAAACAGGAAGTTCATTTCCTAGAGATGGAAACCATTTCAGTTTCCAACAGTTCTGCCCGTTTCTGTTGCAGCTGAGAAGACAAAGTTCTGGTGTTACCGCGTCCTCCAAGGAAAAAGGGAATTTGAGGTTCATCGTTCAGATTCAGTGTCTCAGATACATCCCAGTGTTGGACCAGACCCTGGACCTACCTGGAGAGTAGTTCAGAACCCGGAGGTCCGGTTCCTCCTCAGCCAGAACCCTGAACATCATCTCCCGAGCAGCTTTCCCAGTGCAGTAGAGAACCCAGGAGCAGAAAGGCTGCAGGGCGCAGAGAGACGTAACGTTGACGACGGTCCTCCGTCGACCAGGACGTTGTGGGAAGGCCTGCAGGACTCTGGCAGTGAGACAGAGAGCGGAGCTGACGTTCAGGGACAGGTACGAGTCCACCTCAGACATCTCCGTGAAGCTTTTAGTGTAACGGGACACATCCCCTAGAGAGGCTGGGGGACACAAACCACAGGAGAGTCAGGCTGCTCTTCTAGGGACAAGGACACAGACAGAAGACCCAGCAGGGTAGACCGTCTGTCTCTGGGACAGTTCCTACCCATGTCTCATCAAACTGTAAACTCGAGACCGTCCACGGGAGACCTGACCCTCACAGAGTATTCTAGACCTACCTCAGCGCCATCTTTGTTTATGCTCATGACTAAGCCTAACCCCGAGTTCAATCAGGGAACGCACGTGCACGGACTGAACACTAACAAAGTGACCCGAACCTGAAACAGACCCAAACACTCAAATCTGGTCCGAGCCAAAACCACCGATGTCCCCCTGAGGACGTCCTCCCGGCCAAGAATACGGACATGTTGTTCTGACTGTGTCTGCTAACACTCTTCATCTGGACTTCAGCTCAGAACCCAAACCGATCCAGAACCGTGTCCTAGAGCTGAAAGGCCTCTGATGTCCAGCGTTGGGCATCTTACCGTAGAAAGTAATTAGTTACAGTTACAAGCTCCCAGCTCCTGCTGCGTGATCATCCTGGAGATTCAATTCAAGTTTATTTATAAAGCGCCAAATCACGACAAGAGTCGTCTCAAGGCACTTCACATAATAAACATTCCAATTCAGGTCAGTTCATTAAGCCAATCAGAAAAAAAAGTTTCCTATATAAGGAACCCAGGTCGCATCGAGTCACTGACTAGTGTCAGAGTCTTTACAGCAATCCTCATACTAAGAAAGCATGCGGCGACAGTGGAGAGGAAAACTCCCCTTTAACAGGAAGAAACCTCCAGAGAATCCTGGCTCAGTATAAGCAGCCATCCTCCACGAGTCACTGGGGATGGAGAAGACAGAGCAGACACACACACACACACACACACACACACACACACACACACACACACACACACACACACACACACACACACACACACACACACACACACACACACACACACACACACACACACACACACACACACACCGTGATTTCTAAGTAAATATTCTATTTGGTGAGAGATAAACTTTATTGTATTAATCCTAGTGAATCTATAATTAAACGGGTAAACTAGTAGTAGCACATTCAATGTCAAAGAGAGTAAAAAGTTATTATCAGGAGAGGGAGAATGTTTAAGTGGTTAGCAGCAGTGTGCTAGACGATGACCCCCTCCATGAGGCCACCACAGCTCAGCAGAACATCATTGTAGCTTCTTCTGGGGAGAAAAACACTTAGAGAGAAAATAAAGTTAACAGCTGAAATAGCAGGAAATAATACAGTTAAAGAGCAGATTGTAGAAGAAAGTAGTCGAGTGTGGAAAGTGGTCGGTGTGTCCTCCAGCAGTCTAAGCCTATAGCAGCATAACTACAGAGATAACTCTGGATAGCCTAGCCTTTTAGATGGAGGCATGTTGGAGGCAGGGCAAGGGAGAGCCGTCTTTACTGACTGTACACTCCACCTCCCTCTACTCCCCCACTTGTCCAGATCTGGGCTAACATCAGATTTTAACCATAGACCCTATCACATAAAAACGTGTTAAGCCTAGTCTTAAAAGTAGACAAAGTGTCTGCCTCACGGACTAAAGCTGGGAGCTGGTTCCACAGGAGAGGAGCCTGATAACTAAAAGATCTGCCTCCCATCCTATTTTTAGATATTCTGGGAACCACCAGTAGACCTGCAGTCTGAGAGCGAAGTGCTCGGTTAGGAACGTATGGAACAATCAGATCACTGATGTATGATGGAGCTTGATTATTAAGAGCTTTATATGTGAGAAGAAGGATCTTTAAATCTATTCTGAATTTAACAGGTAGCCAATGTAGGGAAGCTAAGACAGGAGAGATATGATCTCTCTTATTAATTCTCATCAGAACTCTAGCTGCAGCATTTTGGACAAGATGAAGACTTTTAACTACATTCTGTGGACTTCCTGAGAGTAATGAATTCCTAGATGTTTCAGTCCTTTACATGTTCATTAAGTCCTCTTTTTAAATATCGAACGAGGTCCTTTCAGCTTCGGACATGACGGTGTTTCTAGTTATCTTTACATGCTTCCACCCTCTGCGGTCTTCATCAGAAGTGTCACAGGTGTTCTGGTGGGCCCACCTCCTCTGGCTGGTCTTTGGAGAAGGGAATCCCAGGTGCGAGACAGCTGATAGGCCCACTCATCTCTGTTCATGTTCCAATGTTCATGTTTCCTTATTTCTGGCTGAGGAACTGGTGGATCTGACAGAACCGGGACAGTCGCGCCCACCAGAAGAACAGCTGATAAAGAAGCGTCACAGAAACACCTGTGAAACTTCTGGTGGAAGACCGCAGACGAGGGTGGAAGCATGTCCGAAGCTAAAAGAAGTTTAATAGATGTTTCAGGGGAATTGTTTAAGCGGTACACGAACCGTCCTTTTGAATCAACAATTATTATTTATTCAGTCCATCACCCTCTCATCAGACGTGGAACCGTCCACCAGAAGCCACCTGGGTAGGGTTGGGCATCTTTTGATTTTGAACAATTCCAATTCCTCCTTTCCATTCTGGTTCCTATCGATTCCCGATTCCGATTCTTTCAAGACATGACGTGTTTTACATGAGCCAGCTAACCGCAGGTCCTACTTGATGAAATAACCTTAACTCCAACATGAATTTTAACTCTATGAACAACAACATCACCTTCATTTAGACAAAAACATGTTTTGGAGAAAAAAAGAAAAAGACTTGCAGCACAACCAGTGTGTTTGTTTCTGACCACAACCAACGTCTGGAAGCAGCCTCTGGGATGAGAGGCTAAATGTCTCCAACATATCCAGAAACGTGCAGCTGTTTTCAGCTAACACTCTCAGGATGATCATGTCCAGGATGACTGAGAACTACACCTCCATGCTGCAACAGCGTTCAGTCACAAACAGGAAGTGAAACTTAAATATAGCTGCTGTCAGTAACAAACAGTTTTTAAACATTAAAACTCAACAGAAATAGTTCAGAAAGGAAATTAAAATGTTTACAGCTTTGTGTGTGATTTATTATTAATATTATAATTATTTATGGTGGCAGAAGCTTCTCTAGCATGATGACTTTAATTATTCTACAGGTTATTGTTCAGCCTTCTGATGCTCACTCACACACACACACACACACACACACACACACACACACACACACACACACACACACACACACACACACACAGACACACACACACACACACACGAGTGTTGGTGAGCGGCTGCATCTGACTGCTGACGCTCTGTGTGTGATTTTAATCCTGCAGTGAGACAAACTCACCTCACACCGTCCAGAGTTTGTTCTTTAAAGCTTCTATTAAATCCACCGTGTTGACGTGTTTAACACGTTTCCTCTACGCTGCAGGAGTTAAAGTTTACGTCACAGATTAAAAGTTCGGCAGACGTTTGTTTAGATCTGGCCGCTGCGCGCCGGGTGGGGTGGTGGTGGTGGTGGGGGACTCGTGCTGCACACACACAGCAGGTGTGATCAGCTCTGAAAAGCCTTGATCACAGTTTGCAGATCACGTTTATTTTTCACGGGGATCGGCCGCGGATTCCTCTTCCGTTGGCACACTAGGAATCGAAACTAGGAATCAAAATAAAAACACTGAGCGATTCCGGGAAAACCGAACAGTTGGAGCCGGTGTTCTGACAAAACGTCCTACTTTGGCAAAACGTCCTACCCGTAGGATAATTTTATGGTGTTTTACATGACAAACACAAACCCTAACCCAAAAAATCAAGTATCAACGTCAATAAAAAGTACTAATACTTACTATTTACCTATTTTCCTGCAAATATAACAATGCGCTTTGCTTCCCTTTTTGTGTTGTGCGCATGCGCACACATGCTCAGGAACAACGGGTAGGACGGTTTACGGAGTAGGAGAAATTCCCAGAACACCGGTTCCAATCGATGCTCGATTCTCGATGCCCAACCCAACACCTGGGAAGTATCTTCTGTCCCGTCTTCTATTTAGTAAGAGATGAACTTTCTATATAGACATAGGTGCCTTTCTATATCACAGTTACATATACGTAATTATTGTTATTACCCTGTTATTACCATTGTATGTCACGTCTGGTTAAACTTAGACAGCAAAAGCTTTCATCCCATCTCTCAGTTCCAGGCTAACTCAGGCTCTTCTACAGCGGCTCTGAGTGACTTCAGCTGTAACCTTTTAAAACTGTGAAATCCTTTTTTTAATGTAAATCAAACTCAATAAAAATGTGCAGATTTAATCAATTTATCAGAGTTTTAAATTCTACTGGATTTCCACAACAGAAAAGGACCAGTAACATTTTTAGATCCATTTATGTTTATTTTTAAATTATTTTCCACAAATATCAACACCCCACTGAAATAAATAACCTACTGTTGCCATGTTTCTTCTTACTTTATATAAAAAAGGTATTTATTGTAAAATGAAAACAAATTACTAAATATTTAAGAGATAAAAACATCAGTGACTTAAATCTCTGGCAAAAGTCGGATCTAATAATTCTGAGACTAAGTCACTTCTGTTCGTCCTCTCAGCATCTCATCAGGTTCAGCTTGAGCCAGTGACAGGGTAAGGGTTAAGGCAGGCTGACTCCGCCCCCTGCAGGTTTACCACACCTTTAATGCAGAACTGAAATGTTGCACCATGCTGCTGAGAAAACAGCTGATTGCTGTCATAGCAGCTCCTGGACCTGCTCACAGGTCTTCAGGGAGAGACACCATCAGAACCGAGAAGACCGGTACACACCAACTCTGACGGGACCTAAGGTTCTGACCCATATAACTGCCAGTTCCAGTTCCAATTGGGTTCTGCTCAGAGCTGGTTAGATTAGTCTCGGTCATAAACTGTGTTTGGACCTGCAGCGGTACCGAACTCGACTCTTACCCGCGTTGTTGATCAGAATCACGTGGTCCAGGTCCTCGTTTGAAGCCTTTTTGGAGGTTCTGATGATGTTCTCCAGACCCTCCGTCTGTCCGACGTCAGCCACCACCACCTCCACCTTCAGCCCGGTTCGGCCCGGTTCGGACTGGGTCAGCTCGGCCTGCAGAGTCAGCAAGTCTTCCCCAGACCGGGCCACCAGGACCAGCACCGATCCGGGTCTCACCAACCGGGCCAGCTCTTTAACCGCGGCCCGGCCAAAGCCTCTGGAGGCCCCGGTGATGATGCACAGAACCCGGCCGAGGTCCGCAGCTGGCGCCATGGTTCGGATGGTTCTGAAGCGTTCTTCTGCGTGATTCACCGTGAGATCCGGAAACGTGTCGGTGCGCTCCTTCTGCAGCGGCAGCCCGGTCCACTTGCTGCCCTGCCGCCACCTCCCGGTGAATATGAGTCAGGGCACGGGAAACCGCATTCACACCGATTATGGTTCCGACACGCTTCTGCCCGGATTTGAACCGTTTAATCACCGAAAATCAAAACATCAAGGCTGCAGGAACACGTTTATATAAGACTATCAGTCAGAGACCGTGTTGTGTAACTCGGTCTGACAGGTCACACATTAGTAAAAACAAACATGTCTGTGTAAACTGGAATAACCCTTCCGGCTGGCTGGAGGAGGGGCAGCAGGAACTAGAAAAGGTCTCAAGCCCAACAGCAACTCTAAAATATAATCTGAGGCCAAATATTTCAGTGTGAACTGTAGAAAAGGTGCCAGGAGGACGAACAGAAAGGTTAGAGTTGCTGCCAATTGTCCATCTGGGTCACCAAGGTAAATCCCGTCTGTGCATTCACCCCCACCACCTCCGCCAATAGCCTCAAGCTGCTAAAGCCTGATTTATCCTTCCCTGTCAGCTCCGCAAGGGAGTGAAGCACGTGAACTGACAGAAACATTTTGCTCTAGGACTTCTCTATACCCTGTCAGTACAACCGAGAGCGTAGCAATTCAATTCAGTTTATTTATAAAGCGTCAAATCACAAGAGTCGTCTCAAGGACCTTCACACAGTAAACAACACAGGTCAGGTCATTAAGCCAGTCAGTAACAAGTTTCCTATATAAGGAACCCAGCGGGTTGCATCGAGTCACTGACTAGTGTCAGAGACTTTACAGCAATCCTCATACTAAGCAAGCATGCAGCGACAGTGGAGAGGAAAACTCCCTTTTAACAGGAAGAAACCTCCAGAGGATCCTGGCTCAGTATAAACAGCCATCCTCCACGACTCACTGGGGATGGAGAAGACAGAGCAGACACACACACACACACACACACACACACACACACACACACACACACACACACACACACACACACACACACACACACACACACACACACACGTACGCATGCATGCACACACACACACACCTATGATTTCTTAGTAATTATTGTATTTAGTAAGATACGGTATAAACTTTATTGTATGAATCTATGATTAAAAGGGTAAACTAGTAGTAGCACATTCTTTGTTAAAGAAGATAAAATGTTATTATCAGGAGAGGGAGAATGTTTAAGTGGTTAGCAGCAGTGGGCAGAATCTAGAAGAAAGTCGAGTGTGGAAAGTGGTCAGTGTGTTCTCCAGCAGTCTAAGCCTATAGCAGCATAACTACAGAGATAACTCTGGATAACCTAGCCTTTTAGATGGAGGCATGCTGGAGGCAGGGCAAGGGAGAGCCGTCTTTACCGACTGTACACTCCACCTCCCTCTACTCCCCCACTTGTCCAGATCTGGGCTAACATAAGATTGTAACCATAGGCACTATCAAATAAAAATATTTTAAGCCTAGTCTTAAAAGTAGACAAGGTGTCTGCCTCACGGACTAAAGCTGGGGGCTGGTTCCACAGGAGAGGAGCCTGATAACTAAAAGATCTGCCTCCCATCCTATTTTTTTAGATATCCTGGTAACCACCAGTAAACCTGCAGTCTGAGAGCGAAGTGCTCGGTTAGGAACGTATGGAACAATCAGATCACTGATGTATGATGGAGCTTGATTATTAAGAGCTTTATATGTGAGAAGGAGGATCTTAAAATGTATTCTGAATTTAACAGGTAGCCAATGTAGGGAAGCTAAGACAGGAGAGATATGATCTCTCTTTTTAATTCTCAACCAACCACCTTTTGGCCTGCTAAACCCATTAACTGCTCCTTCTAGACCTTGGTCCCACATTGCAATGGATTTTGTCACTGGTCTACCCCCTTCTCGAGAATTCTCAGTAATCATGGCGGTGGTGGAGAGGTTCTCCAAGGCCTGCCACCTGATGCCATTAAAATCCCTTCCCTCCTTCACAGAGTCGGCCAATCTGTCAGTGAAACACATATTTAGATTACACGGCATCCCAGTAGAGATCCTCTCAGACTGAGGTCCCAGTTTACTTCTGATCGTTCAAAATCACGTGATCGGACCAATTTCCATGTGAGTGTGTGTGTGTGTGTAATGTTCTACTCATTTTTGTTTTCTACATGTTTTATAGTCTTCATATTTGTGCACTTAGACGTGTGTGTGATTGTGTTGTCAAGCACTTTGGGGGGTTGTGGAACTCTATAAAATCAAATTCAAATTTTATTTGTCACGTACACAGTCATACACAGTACGAAATGCAGTGAAGAAACTCCTCCTCAGCCTCTCTGTGTTGGTCTTCAGGGAGCGGAATCGCTTTCCTGACCTCAACAGAGAGAACAGTCTGTTGTTGGGATGGCTGAGGTCCTTCACGATCTTCCCGGCCTTGGTCCAGCACCGGCTGCTGTAGATCGAGTGCAGGTCAGGGAGTTCGGAGCGGATGGTGCGCTCAGCTGATCGTATGACCCTCTGTAGAGCTCGTGTCCTGCATGGTGCTGTTCCCGAACCAGGTTATGATGTTCCCCGTCAGGATGCTCTCTATGGTGCACAAGTAAAAGTTCCTGAGCACTCTGGGGGGCAGTCGGAAGTCTCTCAAGCGTCGGAGGTAGTAGAGACGCTGTCGGGCCTTTTCCACCACGGTGTTGATGTGACACGACCATGACAGGTCCTGCGTGATGTGAACACCGAGGTATTTGAAGCTACCCACTCTCTCCACTGGGCACTCGTTGATGACGGGGATCTGGTAGTTCCTCTCCTGCTTAGTACTGAAGTCCACTATCAACTCCTTCATTTTACTGACGTTTAGAAGGAGCTTTTTCCTCTGGCACCAGGTCTCCAGATTCATAACCTCCGTCAAGTAGGCCGCCTCGTTGTTGTCAGAGATCTGGCCCACCACAACGGTGTCGTCAGCAAACTTAATGATGGTGGTGGAGCTGGTACTGGCCACACAGTCATATGTGTACAAAGAGTACAGCAGGGGGCTTAAAACACACCCCTGGGGTCTCCAGTGCTGAGAGTGGTGGAGGCTGAGACATGTCCGCCCATCATTACTGCCTGTGGTCTGCCAGTTAGGAAGTTGGAGATCCACTGACACATAGATGAGCTCAGTCCCAGGTGCTCCAGTTTGGTGGTGAGTGTGGAGGGAATTATGATATTAAATGCAGAGCTGTAGTCGATGAAGAGCATTTTAACATAATTCCCCCTTCTAGTGTCTAGTGATGTGTGGAGGAGATGACAGATGGCATCGACTGTAGAACGATTTGGACGGTAAGCGAACTGTAGTGGGTCCAGTGTGTCTGGTAGTGAAGAAACGATGAAGTCTCTGACCGGGCGTTCACAGTACTTCATCACTACTGAGGTGAGTGAATGTACACTACTGTATATAAATACAGGTCATTCACCAACAAAGAGTCAGTGACCCCAACACTTGTGTTTTCATTTTTAATGTATTAGGATGAAGCTGGACTTCTGTAAGTGGAGTCTGATGAATAAAACCGTGACCCTTTAAACTCAAACAAACTCTTCATCTAATTATAGCGATTATAAA